GGGGGGGGGAAGACGCGGTAGCGATGTGGGATTCTGTTCTGGATGGGAAGCATACCCACTAAACCCCTCTGTTCCTCAAACGCATTATAGCGAGGCCACGGGTACGCTTGCGCTCTCGTCCGCGACCTCGCTTGTTTGAATGTATCTCCAGAACAGCTGAACAGATTCCGATGAAATTTGTCATACATATAGAACATAGTCTGGAAGAACACATAGACTAATTAAGTTTTTTTTAATGCCGCATGGAGGAAGTCGCGAGCATAGCTTATACTTACTGGGATGTTGTTGTTTAGTGATTTGATCTATTTTTCTCGGTCTACCTCTCTTGCCTTTCACTCTGTCTGCTGAAGACTGCTGTAAATAATAATATTTATTAAATTATTAATTTTAACAGTGGTAGAGGTCGCTTTAACATGTTCGCAGGAATTGTCCTCGCTCAGTGAAATATCACGAGCACACAGAAGACAGGCGTCAAGTGCGAAGTAATTCCAACTACAGTCTGATGAGTGTGCGTGTCGGAGACCTAATTTAGTCTTCTTTCCCTTCCTACATTTTTCTTATAAGGATGGGAAGTGGAAGTGGACTTTCCGGATGAGAGGATGCTTAGAAATATTTTCTCTCTGTGTATCCTCTCCTCCGTCGATTAAAGGTAGGCAACGCATATGCAATTACGTATATCTATGGGTAACGCTCACTTCGCTATTTCAGCGATTTCATGTGTTTGCCACCTTATGATATAAAAAAAAATTATAAAAGCTCACTAGCACCCTTCTTAATGTCAAAATCACAAGAACACTGACGACATCTTTTGGTTCCGATTTGAACCTATTATATTTCCCGAAAGAAAAAATCAAATACGCACAAAACACCACGGCTTATAGCCGGTCCATCTATAGTAATATTATAAAGCGGTTGAGTTTGTTTAAACCCGTTAATCCCAGGAAGTACTGGTACGATTTGAAAATTTCTTTTTTTGTTGGATAGTCCATTTATAGAGGAAGGCTTTAGGCTATATAACATTACGCTGCGACCTATAGTTTACTGAGTTTAGTGCTTAGAACAGTCTTCCCCAAAGTGTGCGATAACGCCCCCTTGTGTGCGCTGCAGGTGTCAAGTTGCGGGTTATAGTAAAAATTTCGTTTACAATTCTCCGTTAATATACATATATAGGTCACAATAATTAATTAATTTCATTTGAAGTTATAGTGATTTTTAAATATGTGAAAATATGGGGGACGTTAAAAAAATATTGATTCTCAAAGTGGACAGTAGACAAAGTTTGGGAACCACTAGTTTAGAACTATCTATGTTAGAAGGTATATACAGAACGGCTGCATGGATTTTGCTGAAATTAGGCATAGATGTCATCCCCCGTGAAGGAGCTGCCTCTGAAGAGCGAAAGCGTGCCCGTGGCCCCGTCCCGATGCGTTGGAGGAACAGAGGGGTTTAGTAGGTATGCCTCCACTATGGAGGAGAATCCCACATAACTACCGCGTCCCCCCTGGGGCGGGGAGCATGCATAAAGCATTCCTATCAGGAAAAAAAAAGCATAGATGTCATACATAGTCTAGAACACATAGACTACTAAGTTTTTTTTTAATTTCGAGCTAACGGAACTGCAAAAGCAAGTTGATAATAAATACTATTTTATATCGAAATGATTTTAGCATTTTCTTTATATGTAGTGTGTTTTATCCCACATAAATCTTACTAATATTATAAATGCGAATGTTTAGATGGATGTATGTTAGAACATATCTCCAGAACTTCTAAACGAATCTAGATGAAATTTGTCATACATATAGAAAATAGTCTGGAAGAATACATAAGCTACTAATTAAGTTATTCCTTAATTTAATTTCACATTTGAGCAAGATTGATTTTTTTTTGTGACTGAGTAGTCACTGAGCGTCGGTGGCTCAGTGGACAAGCACTTGACTTGCAATCTGCAAGTCCTTGGTTCGAATCCCGCCATGTACCAATGTGTTTTTCAATTTCCGATTTACATATGTACATTTATCCGACGTTCTTACGGTGAAGGAAAACATCTTGATGCTGCACATATCTGAGAAAGTCAAAGATGTGTGTGAAGTCAACCCGCACTTGGCCGGCGTGGTTGACTATGACCTAATCACCCTTAACTTAGGGTATGCTCCGAGCCTCTCGGTGGGGACGTATAGTGAGCTGATGATGAGTCACTGTTTGCCTTGAGGAGGCATTTACAGCTTCACCGGGCTTGAGGTGGCCGAGCGTAGATGGCACTTAGCTTGAACCTCAAATATATTTCAAACTACTCGAAACAGTTAAGTGCGAGTAGTAATATAAAAATTTATCGTATAGCTTGCGATTCTATTAATGATGAACACGTACGGATACAAGTTGATATACCCTTAAAGCAGGGGTGGTTTTTACATACCGTGTTTTATTGTACAGTCAGCGCCATCTATTAATTAGTAACAGTACAACTCGACGTTATATTTTCATAGATTCATCTTTTGAGCAGAACTATAATGTCGCGCGGTATTAAACAAATAATTAGTAGTCTATGTGTTCTTCCAGACTATGTTCTTTATGTATGACAAATTTCATCGAGATCCATTCAGCCGTTCTGGAGATATCTTCAATCATCCATCTAAACATTCGCATTTATAATATTAGTAAGATATGTAACCACTTTTTTTGTTTCTTTTTTTTTGTTGCATATGTATTTTATTATAAGGAAATTTTTAAGCCAGAATGGCTGAAAAAGCAAATTGTTGAAATAAATCTTACTATTATAATATTATAAATGCGAATGTTTAGATGTATGTTTGTTAGAAGATATCTACAGAACTGCTGCATGAATCTTGCTGAAATTTGTCATACATATAGAACATAGTCTGGAAGAACATGTAGGCTATGTTTTTTTTATTCCTCACGGACGCGAGCTATAGCTAGTAAATAGACACAATATAAATATATATTAAACTACTCGACAACAGTTAATTGCGAGTAGATATTATAAAAATTATTAACGCTTTCGGTGGCCTCCTTACCACGTTATACAACGGGTAAGGTTCAAATAACTAGAACGTGCAAGTTGAAACAACCCTAAAATCAAGGGTTGTTTTAAGATATCGTGTTTCAGTTTACAATCAGCGCCATCTATAAATTAGTAGCGGTACAACTCGATTCAAATTATGCGTAGAACTTAATTTTTTTACATATATGCTACTCGACAACAATTGAGTGCGAGTAACTCCCAAAAAAACTATTATTACACTTGAGGCGACTTTAACACACAAGGTGAGATGGAATAAGTGTAAAGAGTGAAGTGTGAACGGAGAAAATGGAATAGGTAACACCCCTAAAAGGGGTGGTTTTTTGATATCGTGTTTTACTTTACAATCAGCGCCATCTATGAAACAGTAGATTATCAGACTCATCTGCGTTGAAGTAAACATGAGCCACTCGAAAACAGTTAAGTGCGAATCTATATATATAAAAGAAAGTGGTGTTAGTTACACTATTCAAAACTCAAGAACGGCTTTGCCGATATGAAAATTGTTGAGGAGGTAGCTTAGAGCCAGGAGACGGACATAGGATACTATTTTTAATTTTTTAATTTATGCCTTGAAGAGCTGCTTTTTATTTAACTTATGGATGGATGGGTGTTTGAAGATATCTCTAGAACGGGTGAACGGATCTCGATTAAATTTGGCATACATATAGAACATAGTCTGAAAGAACACATAGGCTACATTAATTAAGTTTTTTTTTATATATCTACGCGAACGAAGTCGCGGGCGACAGCTAGTAGTTAATACAAAAATTAGTAATATTCTGTACTTCTCACTAATCTTTATACTTCTATGGATGTGTTTGCTTTGTTCCGAATTAAACCATCTCTATCTATACTTTTTTTTTTTGAATCCACAACACCGCTACAAACCACTACCAATGTGAAATCAGCGCCAAAATGGCGTAAATCAAATAGCCACATATTATGTGTTATAGCCAGTCCATTCATAGTGGTGCAGTTCAATCCTGGATATATCCAAAAATTTGGATGCAACATAGTCCCGAGTAGGGTTGCCACGTCGCCAAACCTAATACCCGGATAGACCAGCTGCACATTTATATAGAAAGACCGGACACCCTACATTCAACGGACCAATCTCATTTGCAAAATATAAAAAGCCTAACAAAAGCCGGACACCGTTTATTATTGCCGGACAAGCAATCCTACCATGTCCGGCTTTATCCGGACGCCTGACAACGCCACTAAGAATTTGCTCTCATCTAGTCGGGTAAAATCTTCACTAAAAACCGCGCTCAACACATTATGTAAGCGCCTGGTCCCAAAAAAGAAACATACATACATATTTAAATGTAAATGACACCTCACTTAAGGGACAGTACATAACGCTACATTAAATAGTACCAACCCGAGACAACACGATTATGCACTATCGTGTTTTAAAATTTGGTCAGCGCCATCTATTATCCAGTTGCTTAAACTCTTTATAAAAAAGTATCATTTGTAGTGTTTGACAACTGACGTCTATAAATTATGGAATTAATTTAGTATGAAGATTAATGTACTTAATGGACGGTTGTCATAGTATCGGACCGCACTACAAAACTATGAAATATCGAGAATTTTGTTTAATTATTTATATTTCGCTATAGCTCACACAATTAACTTAACAATTGTTTACGTTGGTCGAAAACATTTGTTTGTTGGTTTAATATTTTATTTTTTAGATAATTTTGAAAACTAAACGTATCTCCAGAACTGGTGAACGATGAAATTTGGCATAGATATAAAATATAGTCTGGAAAAACACATAGGTTGCGGACGTGGTCGCATGCTATAGCTAGTATAATAAATAAATACATACTGAATCATTTTTCTTGGTGCTTGGAGTTCTTTTGGTATATTTACGTTTGACGCGCGGTGTTGAATCACCCATTGATGAAGACGCAGCAGAATCTTAAATGAAAAATAAAAAAAAAAATATTATAAATCAGAATTTTGTACGCTTTTATATTAAATTATTTAAACTTTCCTGAGACATTATAATGAACTTATATAAAAACAGCTAAACTCGTGTATTAGTCCGGTGGCGGCACCGACTAGTGAGCTGAGGGCCGCGTCCGCGAAATAATACCAGTACCCCTCATCCTGATGAAGGGCCCGCGATGGGCTCGAAACTAGTCGGTGCCGCCACGAGTATAAGTGATTGTTAAGCCGTTTTTCTGTTTAAATTGAGTTTTGTTTGAGGAAATAATTTATTTTGTATTTAGTGGCTGTAAGTTATATTTAATACAGCGCCATCTGTTGATGGGCGGAGTTCGTTTAACTGACGGAAAAGTTAAGTTGGGAGAATTAATCTAGTCTATGTCTAGAAATTTACTAATTAAATATCTATATAATCTAAATATAACCATTAAACGAATAAATTCATGCAAAACATATTAATATAATACATGCATCAAAACTTTAGCAAATTTTAAAGTTTTCAGCAAATTTTTCTTCTCAAAAGACCCAAATTATTTTTAAGAAAATTTCTTACTAATATTATAATGTATGGATGTATGTTTGATGTCATAAAGACGACTGAATAGATCTGGTTAAAATATTTTTCAATTCCACTGACAAAGTCGGGGGCAACAGCTTATAAAATGCTTGTAAAGTCAACAAAACAAGTTTACGTCTTGAAATAATTTTAAACTTCAAAAAACTAACGAACATACAGGCTGTTCAAAAACATTGTAAACTAAACTTTAAAAAATAAAAATTTAACATTCAATCTTTGATACAATATTTTTTACTTTTATACAGGATGTTCAAAAATAGTTTATTTTACAATATATTTCCGGACCCTATATAAGATCAAAATGAAGTACGTCATCAATTAATTTTAAACTTCGTTTATTTAAAATGTAACTAAATTATTTACTGACATTTTATAAATTTCGAAATGTCAATTTTTCATTGTGACTAAAGTTTAAACTTAAGTTTAATATAAAAGACAAATCCATCTCCTAACGTAGTATTTAAAATTGAATTCGCTATTTTTTTTTTCAAATAAACCTTACATATGCATAAAAACAATAATTTATTGAAGACAAAGCATATCCCTAAAACGATCACATTTAAAAATACAAAACCTAGAAAATAAACATTTAAAAGCGACAAATAAACTAAAAAAAAAAACCAACAAAACTACACATGCACTCCAAAACTTCATTTTACCTTTCCTCTTAATGAACTTTGTTTTTCGTCTTACGACAACTTTTTTGTCATTTTGCCTGACAAGAACTTTTTTATCGTCGACTTGCCTGACAGCTGCATGGGGCGGTAGTTTCCGCATATGCTTGCTTTTAGCCTGGATAGCTTTCACTACCCGAGTACCGCTCGGTGCTTTTAGCATAGGATTTCCTGATCACAAACATCATTAGTAAACAACACAACATACTTCCTCCATTTCTCCGACTTATAGTGTACTTATTTCTTTAGTTTATTATTTATTAATTTTATAAACATCATACTGTATTACTAATACTAGTTGCCCGTGACTCCGTCTGCGTGGGATTTAAAAAAAAAACAAATCAGTAGCCTATATGTTCCAGACTATGTTCTATATCTATGACAAATTTCAGCAAGATCTGTTCAGCCGTTCTGGAGATACATTCTAACAAATCCATCCATCCATTTAAACATTCAATGTAAAATTAAATAATGATATTTAATAAATAAGTACACTACACTAAGGTCATCACAATATGTACTCCTCCATACATCTCTATCAGCCGTCATATCTGAATCTACCCCCTTCTTACACATATCCTCTTTCACACAATACTTTGGTCTTCCTCTAACTTTGTAGCCATCCACATTCAATCTCATTACTTTTTTGCTCGTCGTCGGTTGCTCAGGAGTCAAGCACTTGACTTGCATTCTGCAGGTCCTGGGTACGAATACCGCTATCTCCCAATGTGTTTTTCCATTTCCGATTTACATATGTACATTTATCCGACGTTCTTACGGTGAAGGAAAACATCGTGATGCTGCACATATCTGAGAAAGTCAAAGATATGTGTGAAGTCAACCAGCACTTGGCCAGCGTAGTTGACTATGGCCTAGTCACCCTCAACTCAGGGTAGGCTCCGAGTCCCTCGGTGGGGACGTATAGTGAGCTGATGATAACTTTTTTGCTTATATTAATCATACTTTGTCATATAGATTTACCAAAAACCGAGCACAAATAGAAAATTCGCACGTACTTGTAGCCTAAGACGAGGTATAGTGCGAGAAGCCTAATTTTTTCCCCTTCCCTACTTACTACTTTAACAAGGCAGGAATAATGGTAAGTGGGGAAGGGACGTGAGACGAAGGGAAAGAGAAATGTCCCCTTTCCTGTACATCCTTCAGAGGTCCTTATAAGTCCAGTCCTATATTGTAACTAGTTGCAGATGTTAGGCAATCGTTTTTATAGCAAGCCGAAGATCTCTGAGCCCATTAAAGACACAAGGAACCCGAAAAGGTACGAATGAGGTATTTACTCTTTAAATACAATTCTGTAAACCATAGACAAACTATAATTGAAAGCGTCAATAGCCTAATGGTTAAGGGTACGGATTTCCCATCACGTGGTCTAGAGTACGAATCCCGTCATTCGACTATGCTTGTATTGTAATCCATAACACAAGCATAAAGACTAGAAATATTAGTAAATTAACAAAAAAATCTGCTAATATTTTATTTTAAAAAATGTTATATCATTAGTTACTAGTGTTTAGTTGTAAAATAATTTCACGACGTAAACTTATTTTAGGTTTATATGTCACGAAAAAGCCGCCAAGTGGAGTTTTTTTTTTTGCTTACAGTACAAACTAAATTAACATAATGTCCCGTTTACGTTATTCCAGTACAGTAAGACAGTAGCGCTGTAAACCAGTACCGAAATACAACTGGAATAACTCTGATAGGCGAAAGTGAGACTGCAGTGGCAAAAACAAGGCAATATTTAAATTTATTTTGTTTGTTTGAAATTGTCAAAAGAAAAAAAATCTGTTTCGAGCTAACTTGAACCTTTCAAGTAAAGTAAGCTATTTTATTAGTGAACTTAAGTTATATAAGTATATATAATAATAAATAAAAAGGGTAAAACAAATTTAAAAAAAAAAATAAAAAAAACACCTCACCTGTACGTCGCCTGTATTCTCTTTTCGCCTTCTTTTCTAATGCTTCTGTAGAAAGAAAATAATAAAAAAAACAAATGAGATAAAAAAACTATCTAAAAGGTAAAAGAAGAAATAAAAAAATTTGAAAAATAAATCAAAGCAATAAGCACTCCTGACACTCTCCTATGACACTCTGATGACACTTTAATTCTTTAAATTCGTCCTCATAACATACTACATACAAATGTTAATTTCTTCCTTATTTTAATAAAAAAAAAAGATAATCGGTTAGTTGATTTATGCAAATAATCTTATAATTTTCTTAGACAAATAACAGATGGTCGATATAAAAGATTTAACGGTGACATATCTACTAAACAGATTGTATGTCCCGGAGGCCTAATAGTCCTCTTTCCCTTACCACCCTTTTTCTTATAAGTTCCAGATGAGAGGATGCATGAAAAGCGAAAATATTCTCTTTCCATGCATCCCACCTCCCGTCGATTAAGGGTAGGCAACGGTTAATTCGCTATTCAAGCGATTTGAAGTATCCGCTCGCTCGTTTGACACCTTATGATGTAAAAAACGGACTAAACATTTGTCAGCTACAAAAAAATTGATCAACGCCATCTGTTATCAGTTGTCAACAATTAACCAACGCCATCTATCGTCGATAGTAATCAAACGAATCAACGCCATCTATTGTCGGTTGTAACAAATAGTTTACCTAGCTCCCTAATGCGCTTCCTAGCTAGGTATTCGGGACTCGTTTTGTCGACCCGCGGTCTGCCTCGCTTACGCTTTTCCCCAGTATCCGAACGATTGTTTATCACGGCCGCTGCAAAAAGAACAAAAAAAAAACGAAAAACAAATAAAAAAAACATTGCAAAAAATAATATGCGCGTCAAAAACTTAAATATAGACATCAAATAAAAAAAACACGAAATTATTTATAACATAAAATGCTTTAAAATACTAAATTACGTAAAAATAATTGCATTTAGATGAAATGCGTGTGCTAAAATGGATGTGTGGTGTTACTAGAAAGGATAAAGTTAAAAATGTGTATATTAGAGGAAGTTTGAAAGTAGCGCCAGTAGAGAAATTGAGGAGCAAAAGATTAGCGTAGTCTGGACATGTTATGCGGAGGGATGATGACTACAAAGGTAGAGGAAGACCAAAGTATTGTGTGAAAGAGGATATGTGTAAGAAGGGGGTAGATTCAGATATGACGGCTGATAGAGATGTATGGAGGAGTACATGTACCTACCTTCCGTAGGGATAAGGGTAGGTTGATGAAGAATTGTAAAAAAAAAATGGATAAGTATACAAAAATTAGGGACATCTGTTGCAAAATTCTCGTGTCACAATATTAGTTACCATACACCGAAACAGCTAGACAGAATTTTATATGCATATGCATATATATTTTTTAATTCCGCGCGGACGGAGTCGCGGTCGACAGCTAGTAAACTATAAAATTAACTTAACCACGTGTACAATCTTACTAATATTATAAATGCAAATGTTTGGATGAATGGATGGATTTTTTTTTATTGAATAATTTAGGTCTTGACTTCGATTTCATGGATGTTTATTAGGGGTCTAAACTAAACGATCCAACGTACGTTTCGCGCGCAACGCGATTAAGACGAAAGGCCTAAATCAGCTCACAGCTCATCGCGATGTACTAATCTTTATATATATAATTCTTCTGTGAGTGTGTATGTCACTGAACTTCTCTCAAACGACTGGAGCGATTTTTAATGAAATTTTTTGTGTATGTTCAAGGGGATCTGGGAATGGTTTAGATTCACAATTTTGTCCGCTGGACAATGTTTTTTCAATTAATTTTTAATTTATTAGTAGTTGTTGATTTTGGAATGTTTTACATTGGATCCGACAGACGGTGCTACCATCGCTGTGTCAAATTGTCAGACAACGTCTGTCGGGTCCGCTAGTCTTTATATATGGATAGGGCAATGCTAAGAAATTTTCCACACAGCCTTTGCTTCTTTCAGATTTAGCTTCAGCTGAAGTTTCTTATAGTTAATTTCTATGTAAATATAATATCTTTATTACCAGTTCGATTCCTCACCTCTGCTACCAAGCTTAATCAAACAGGCACAAGATAACACGGGTTATAGCCTGCCCATACACAATGTAAGGGCCGTTAACTACTAACTTGCGAGAACAACTCAAAACTGAGGGTACAAATTGAGCTGGTTCAATGGTCTATTAAAGTCCCAAGGAAGTCAGATTCATCATCATCAGCTCTAGGTCCCCACTGAGGGCAGAGTGTACCCTAAGTGAGAGTATGTGATAGTGAACGCCGGTCCAGTGCAAGACTTCACACATATCTTTGACTTTCTCAGATATGTGCAGCATCACGATGTTTTCCTTCATCGTAATAACATACCATAAATGTACATATCATCATCATCAGCTCATTACGTCCCCACTGAAAGTCTCGGAGCCTACCCTAAGTTAAGGGTGATTAGGCCATAGTCAACCACGCTGGCCAAGTGCGGGTTGACTTCACACATATCTTTTGAATTTCTGCTCAGATATGTGCAGATTGCAACCCGATGTTTTCCTTTACCGAAAGAACCTCGGATAAATGTACATATGTAAATCTGAAATGGAAAAACACATTGGTACATGGCGGGATTCGAACCCAAGACCTGCAGATTGCAAGTCAAGTGCTTGACCCACTGAGCTACCGACGCTCCTGTACATATGTAAATGTAAAATTGGTATATGATGGAATTCAAGCTAAAGATTTATAGATTGCAAGTCCATTGGACTTGTAATCTATAAATCCTCGCTGCGTTCAAAACCCGTATAAGTCTTGAGCCACCGATGCTTTATTCCAGGGTTCATTTCAACTTAAGTTGAACTCTTAATATATTTTAAACCGTGACCACCCCCTAAGGTGACAACAGTTGTAAGAAAAATAATTCCAAATTTCATCAAAATCCTTCTACAGCAGTAGGAGTGAAGAGCCAATGTTCACATTAACCTCTTTGTACTCGCAATATGTAAAACGATATCGTGTTTCAACAGACAACTAGCGCCATCTGTTGATGGCGTTCTTATTTATCGCAGACTTAAGTATACTTCAAGTTAATGACGAATTTATAGTGAATGAAAGAGATGGCTGTATTGTTGTGTAACAAGTTTTGCGACAGTGAAAACTTACAGTTACAAATACACTTAATACTTTGAAATGTTTTTTCTTTTATGTATTCATAATGTTTTGTCGTTTATTTTTTTAATTTTAACCTATTTGTAGATTTAAAAGATAAATAAAAATTTGAAATGTAAATATTTTTTTTTAATTTTACGTATTTATACTATGGTGTGGTTTTGTTTTAAATTTTAAGCTTTTTTCTTGGGATTAAAAGATATAAACATTTTGAATATAAATAAATTTTATTGGAATTTTGTGTTATTATATTGCGGTGTGGTTTCGTTTGAAATTATTGGTGACTTTATTTTCTTTAAATTAAACTAAAAATAAATTTCATATCAAAAATCAAACTTTTTATATACAATTTTATTTAATCTTACTAATATTATAAACTACGCATTTATATTGTTTAGATGTATGGATGGATGTCACATGCATGTAGAGCACAGTATGGAAGCGTCGAGACTATGTTCTACATGCATACGTTCCCCTAGGCCACAAACTATTTTTTTTTATTCCGCACGGACGGAGTTGTGGGCAACAGCCAGTATAGAGCTGGTATACACAACTTGGTGTAAGCAGCTATTACAAAAACAATTCATATAGACTAACTATATAGTCCACCTGATGTTAAGTGATCACGAAGTACGGAGGGCGAAACGCACCCCTATTCACCCCCGGAGACAAACTAAAGCGCGATTCAAAATACAACTACTGCCATCTATGTATTGAAAATGAAAACTAAACTCGTCATATATGAAATTTTACTTATGTCTCGCCTAAAAAGATTTACTAGGCCATTTACAATTTAACTGAAATATATAATTCTTTAAAAATGAAACTAAATAATTAAAATAATTTACCATTGGTTTCTGATAGCAAAATATCTATATAAAACATATCGTCATCCCACAAAATAAAAAATGTTTTAAACGATGATTTTGGTATAAGAAACCCACGGTTGTTCCTCCTACAACCGTTGATTATTCAACGTGGTTAATTCAACCAAATTTAAAGAGTAATTGAGTTGTTTTAGCAGCCATTTTAATATCAAATGCATGAAAATTTGACAAAATAATCTAAAACAACTAAAGAATCGACGTCGATTCAATGAACTAGTCAAATAATTGGGAAAAATTGTCAAAATTGAAAATTTATCTTTGTTGACGATAGAATTTTAAAGCCTTCTCAAAATATTTTGTAATTTAACTGAACTAAATTGTAGCACTGTATTTTGTTTATTTTCTTTGTATTAATGTTTATTATGTTATATTCTACATCATTTCAATAACTACTATTTATTATCTGTAAACTACTAACTTATACCAAGGTAGATGAAAATATAGTTGGTAGTTTTTGAAAATAAAAAATAAAGTGAATTTGGAGGGTGGTCGGCTATGGGCAGTCGAATGTCGTCCGTCGAACGTACAGTGCGCACCCATATTGAAAATTCTGTGTTTCATTTTGCTGCATCGCCGCCATGAATGCGAATGTTTTGATGTATGTATGCAGGTCTGTGGTTTTTGAACGAATGTTAGACAATTAAGATTGATATGCGTGAATCACTGATCGGACAGAATGGAACGGAAGTATAAGAGTGAACGGAATGAACATGGTAGGACGGCAAGACGAAAGGAGTGCAAGTAAAAATATATTATAAAGCAGTAAATAAAATAATAAGAAGACGAAAAATCTTTGATTCTGCCCACCACCTCGCCACATGTATGTTAGAAGGTATCTACAGAACAGCTGCATGTATCTAGGTGAAATTTGTCATACATATAGAACATATAGGCTACTAAATAGGTTTATTTTAAACCCGGGTGGACGGAGTCGCGGCGACAGCTAGTTTTACATAAATTCACGCACTGCCATCTATTTAAGAATATTTTAAAGATATTTTGATCGTTTCATTATCACTACTGTTAAGTTGGTCAGATGTTATTATAAAATAAATACGTATATTACTTTCCTTTACCATACTGAGGCAATAAATTTAAAGATTTTTTGGAACTGTCCCCCTTCTTTTTATCTATATACTAACGTATTTTTATATTTTGTAAGATGAACGATAAAATTAAATATTAGATAATGTTTGATTTTTATTCAACTCATTGAATTTAATCTTACTAATATTATAAATAAGCTGTCGCCCGCGACTTCGTCCGGGTGGATATATAAAAAAAAACTTAATATATATAGATAGGTTACATAAAAAGCAGCTCTTCAAGGCATAAATTTGAAAAAAAATAAATAAATAGTATCCTATGTCCTTCTCCTGACTCTAAGCTACCTCCTCAACAATTTTCAGGCATATCGGTAAAGCCGTTCTTGAGTTATAAATAGTGTAACTAACACCACTTTCTTTTATATATATAGATGTGAATGTTTTCATATATGTTTGTTCAGAAGGTATCTCCACAAGTAATGCATGGATTTCGCTGAAATTTGTCATAGATGTAGAACATAGTCTGAAACACAAAGGCTACTAAATAAGTTTTTTTTTAATTACGGGCGGATGGAGTCACCGGCGACAGCTAGTATAGTCATGTTTTTTATCAACACTCCTAAATCTGCCCATTTTCTTAGCGAGAGCCTCTAGTATCGTTGAGGTTCAACAGAGCCTAGACAGCGCTTAGTCTAGACCTAGAATTTATATTTGAGCGTTATAGTACTGTTTTGTTGTAAACAAACAGTTTCTGTCAAAAATACCTTTAAGTAGAAAGAAAAGGGAAGGGATTAATTGAACGTTACAACACCGAGTCGAACTCCTATCGCGACGGTCTGCATAAACGATACTGCGTTTTACACTACAACTAATGCCATCTATTGACGAAAAGTTGGTTTACATTTTAAACATATAGCTGTCATTTTGTGATTGAAAGTCGTATAAAATTTGTCGATTTTTTTCTATTTTTGGAGGGGAAATTAATCCTCAATGTACTGGGAGGGAGGGGGGATAGAGAAACGTAAAATTCCATACACAACGACTATTATAATAAGCAAATTTTCTATATTTTTTATTATGTGTAAAATAGCTAATTTTATATAGTTATGTGAAAAAAGTCACATAGAAATATTTATAACTAGCTATCGACTTCGTAAGCGCGGAATTAAAAACTAAATTAGTAGTCTATGTGTTCTTCCAAACTATGTTCTACATCTATGCCAAACAGCAAGATCCATGCAACATTCTGGAGATACCTCCTAACAAACATACATCTAAACATTCGCATTTATAATATTAGTAAGATTTACAAATTTTACTATAAATATTTTATTTGAAAAGGGCAAACGAGCGGAAACCCGAGGCGTTTATCCCTTGGACATCTGACACAACTGCAGATGCGTTTCAAGTCAATGGAGCACTTAACGACAAACTTATCTGTCCCGGTGGACAATTAAAACATATCACAAGATCCTGGTTGCACCATAGATGATGTTTGATATAATAACTCCGTTCGCGCGAAAAAAAACGTAATAAGTAGCCAATGTGTTCTTCCAGACTATGTTCTATATGTATGACAAATTTCATCAAGATCTGTTTAGCCGTTCTGTAGATACTTTCAAACAAACATACATCTAAACATTCGCATTTATAATATTAGGTATATTATAATTACGATATTTTAGATTTTAGATAAATGGATGTTCGTTACTACGTATCTCCAGAACAGCTTAACAGATTTCGGTAAAATTTGTCATACATATAGAACATAGTCTGGAAGAACACATAGACTACTTATTATGTTTTTTATTAATTTCGCGTGGACGGAGTCGGAAGCAAAAGCCAATAGTCCATACCAAATTCAAAGTAACTATCTATTTTTTTTAATTTCTTTTTTTTTCTTTTAAGTAAATTATGGAACCATTCAACAATATCATGAGAATGGTAACACAAAAAATTATTTTTACTTCATCCATATATTCTGTGAGGTAAAGTGATAGAATTGTGCGATGCGACTGCACCACGCAGACGAACCGAAAGTACGCGTGTTTTATAATATTACCAACGCCATCTATTGTCAGAAAGCAAATAACACTGATGTATTCTCGTAAATTAATTATTTTTTTACACATATAAATTATTGGAAGAATTAGTCATGTCTAGGTTTAAATTATCATCTATATATATAAAAATCAATTGCTGTTCGTTAGTCTCGCTAAAACTCTAGAACTGAACGGATTTATCTTAACTTTGTCTTGAAATATTCCTAGAGGTCTAAGAAAGGTTTAAAAGGTCAGAAAAATTCTTACAATTGCCGGCAAAACCCTAAAAATAGCCATTTTCATTTCCCCTTATAAACAGCTGACTGGATCTCGCTTAAATTTGACATACAAGTAGAACATAGTCTGGAAGAACACATAGACTACTAATTAAGTTTTTTAACCGCACTGACAGAGCCACGGGCGTCGGGTAATATAAAACTGACATTTGTCGGAACCAGCAAGAAACATTTCGTCGGATAAAAATCATGTCGGATATTTCGCTGAGCAAATACAGGCATATCTTTTACATACCCATTTCCTTAGCTTGCTTCCTCGCTGCAACATTAGCCAAGTATTCAGGACTGGTCTTATCAATTCTCGGTCTCCCCCTCTTTCTTTTAGCCGGAGTGGAGGAACTTGATTCTGCCTTTGGTCCATTACTGATATCTGAAAATGTTTGAGTACAAATCATAGATTTATTTACACTAGATGGTCAGTTTCAGTCTTTTTAGGGTTCCTCACAGGAAAAAAAGGAACCCTTATAGGATCACTTTCTTGTCCGTCTGTCTGTCAAGACCCTTTTTTTATATTGTTAGGAACGACAGTGCTATTGGGTTGTTTGATAAGAAGCTTCATAAGAAAACAATTGCTGCTTTAGCACAGTCATTTGCAATTCGTCATGGCGGAACCTCCGACATTTATGTTGAACTAGCTGTCGCCCACAACTCCGTCCGCGCAGATTAAAAAACAACTTAATAAGTAGCCTATGTGTTCTTCCAGACTATGTTCAATATGCATGATTTCAGAGAGATCCATTGAGCCGTTCAGGATATACCTTCAAACTATCTATCCATCTAAACATTCGCATTTATAATATTACTAAGATAAGAAATAAGATAACATTTAGTTAAAGATAACATTGAGGAAGACAAACAGAAAGAGAATATTTCTCCTTCCAAGCCGTCCATTCCTCCACCAAATCCACTTCCCTTCCCATCAAGCCTTAGTCAATCATGCCTAGTGTAGGTCATAAACCAATATTCATCATGAGCTCACTATACATCCCCACTGAGGGACTCAGAGCCAACCCTGAGTTGAGGGTGACTAGGCCATAGTCAACCCTCAACTCCTTCCTCCTCCAACAAAATCACATTGAATTCCTTTTCAGATATGTGCAGCATCACAATGTTTTCCTTCACCGTAACAACATAGGATAAATGTACATATGTAAATCGGAAATCGAAAAACACATTGATACATGGCAGGATTCGAACCCAGGTGCTGCAGATTGCAAGTCAAGTGCTTAACCGCTGAGCCACCGGCGCTCATCTAAACATTTCAAAATGTATAAATAGTTACAAATGTAAAATTTACTATACAATTTTATATAACAAACTAAGTTAAGTAAGAATCATTGTCCTGTCCAGACTTCCATAAGCAAGAAACTCTGGTTAGAGAAATCTCTATAAGCAAGAAAACAACTTTTAACAAATTTTAAAATCCAAGAACCATCTAGATTTAAAACAATTTATTACCTCTGTCCGTTTTATGTCTCGCGGCGTACAATTCGACGGCGGGGGGCACAAAGTGTGAGACGGGCGAACGATAGTCCACACTCAACGGCAGCCCGCCGGCGACTGAAATGTTTCAGCAGAACACATGTTTAATAAACCTAAATTGTAACAAGACCCCCAAAGAAGTTCTCAAATACCCCCAGGGGTCATGGCGCTGGGGGTATCCAATAAAGAGAAATTAAGACTTATCAGTTGTAAAAATGTATTAGCAGGATTTCAATCAAAGCAGTAGTTAAAGGGTGTTTTTAAACTCCTTTAAAGGTAGGTTTGAGGTTTTCATAGCTTTTAGTGGGTAGACTACAGCTGCTTGTAGGTTTAAAAACTACAAATCATTGTATATACATAAGTCTCTGTTGGTGGCTTTTGTGTTTGAAATGTAAACAAATAGGACACTTTTAATAATGTATCACCCTTTATAAAAATTCTTATTAGTTATTTGTAATATAAGTTTATTACCTACCAAGTTATGTACAGTACCTTTATTATATACCTAACAGAGACATATATAAGGTACCTTTATTGAGGCCGTATATGTCCCCATTGGGCTCCAGCTTTGTCTTCTTTTGCGGTGACTCTGGACCCTCGCTGGACGGCGAGGACTCTTCCCTCTTCAACTGCGGCAACACTGAATCTAACTGACCTTCGCACAGTGCCATAATGTCAGCTGGAATATCATAACATTTTATTTATTATAAAAGATTACTGGATAGGACATTGGTGGTTCAGGGTTTAAGCATTTGATTTGTAATCTGCAGCTCCTGGGTTCATATCCTGGCATGTACTAATGTGTTTTTACATTTACATATGGAAAACATTGTAAAGGGTACACATAACTGCTAAGAAATTGAGTGATGTATAATGTCAACCCGTGATGGGTCAGCATGTTTGACTATGTCCTAATCACAGACTATATAGACTCCAAGCCGCATAGTGGGGATGTATAGAGAGGTGATGAAATTATTACCTTAGAAGTTGTATCTGTTTTTACTAAGTCTATGATTACAGGCATATAAAATTGTTTAGACAGTTTTGTTACAATGTTTTGACTACAAGTATGTTTAATATGAACCCATAGGGACAGGTTGGACACCAACTCTTAGCTATATAATGTGGTACACCTTAAGCCTAATCAAATATTGGTCGAGCCAACTTTGAGAGTGATATCCACTTTATCTACACTTAAATACATCAAACTTTATGTGTTTATATGTAATATCATAAAGGGGAAAGATTTGATTGTTTATATTGTATTGGGTCCAAAATTACTGAACTAATTGCAAAATTCTTTCACAGTTTGGTAACATTATGCCTAGATGATATAGGCAGTATTACTAGAATTTTTTAATTACGCGCGTACGAAGTCGCAGGCAACTACTAGTTACAATACTATGGGAATTCAAACAATAGTTCTTTATCTATCTGTCTGTCAGCATTGAAACAGTATGACATGTTTTTATTTATTAGTATTTCTATGATATAATAATACAGACGAGAGTTTTTTTTTATTATATGACTTATTTATAACATGGTTTTTTGAGTTCAATGACCTCTTTATTAAACTATATACCTGTTTAAAATATACGAAATATCTTTACTGATATATCTTGTATATAAAATTATTGTTTGGACATTAAAATAACCTCAAATATTTTGACCTAAACAATGCCAAAAGTATGTACAAAACAAACAACAAAAAAAAATTTGAAAATTTTCAATAACTTTATCTATCAATATCGCGAACAAATGGTCCGTAAAATTGTTTTATAATTACTATGTGTTATCAAGAAATGTACAGTACTAAAACTATCTACAAGTACTCACCAAGAAACCATCTTAAAGTCGACGGAAAATAAAGTCTATATTTTATACACCCCCAACAAAGTTAAACTTACACAATAACAGATTAAGCTACAAATATAAGTTCATTTAAACTTAATTATAACAAATTATAGATTTGTAAATAAGTGATTTTTAAAAATTATAAAGATCCAAGCACATAAATCAATGCCCAACCAAATGGTGCTATGTTAAGACAAACGCAAATACACTAAACACACGATTTTACTAAATATTAAATGCACGCACTACATTATTGTGCAAAGGGATGGCTTTTAAAAGTGATTACAAAAGTTTTCGACGTCGATTATCGGAGATATAAACAAAAAACGCGAAGCCACAAAACTATCTCAACGTCCATTTCTACAGCAAGAAGGTGATGCTACTGCCTACGAAAGGAGTGAAAAAGACGAATATATTTTCCTTCTAGCAACACCAAAGGTTAACCGACCACTTTAAAACGCACTTCATTGACATTAACCAATACCAAAAAGGCATATACGTCAAATAATTTTATTTTTATTTTCAACTCTACTCTTTAAGCAAAAGTTCCAAATTCGTATGATACAAAACAGAATGCCCTACTTTTAAAATTATGTCACGTGTCTTTGTAACAGTTAGGCTAATAAATAAAATTACAAAATCTTTTAATTTTGTCTAATCAACATTAATTTTACCACTGTAATTATCAACGTAATTTATTATAAATATGATGTGATTATTATAAAAAGAAAACAAGAAATGGATATGTAGTTTTATGGTAATATAGCAACATTTATTGGGTGTGGGACGAGTGAATATTGAGAAGAAGGACAGTTAAACAGTGTGAAAAAGCGATAGTTATAGCTAGGTCGGTTGTTGAGTTGGCATTGTATTATTACAAGTTGCTTATCAAGAGTCGTGTTATCGCTTAACCGAGGTTATTTCTTTTTGAATAGTTTCTCCTCGTTTTATTCTTCCGAAGTGAACATAAAAATCAATATAGCGCATATGTTTTTCTATAGATTAAAAAAATAAAACAATTTATGTTTTTATTTTATACAATAAATTAAATAATTGAGATTACATAAATTAAGATATAATTAGGGCGCCAAATTAATGATTCCACTTTTGTCAAGTGTTACAGTTTTATATTCAAAATATCTGTGAACCGACCTAAAAAGTTTTAACAACCTGTTTAGACTTGATGCAATTTTAGCCAACTCGTTTACCGTGTTTGTTTGTAACGAACCGATTTTATATAAATTAACTTTCCATAACTTTATTTGTATATTATTTCAAAACCAATTATCAAATTGATAATTATAGAATCTTTATTTTATATTAATTTATATTTAATTACTTATTTACAGCTTATTGGGGTTTTCAATTATTTTGTTCCAACCAATGTTTTTATAGAATTAAGTTTTCTTCATTAAGAAAAAATGTTAATATCATGGAGTAACCGCCCAGGTCGCCTACGGTGATCCCAAGGTACCTTATCATTGGAAGATTTCCCCCGGCACCGAAAATCGAAAAATCTCGCACAGGGCGCCTGAAATGCTAATACCGACCCTGCCTATACATACTTTAAACATAAATATGTATATATATTTTACTAGTGCGTATTAAAAAATAGTATAAGTAAAAACTAAAAATGATTAAAAAAGGTGTGCAACGGAAACATATTTTTATTTCATGATTCTATAGTTAAAAAAGGCGCCAAAGCAAACGATGTCATTGAACTTTGAGTATTTTACAATATTAACGTCTCTTCTATTCTGAATACTGCGACCCAGTTATCAAGTGGTATTATCACAAAAGCAATATCGATCGTGTAGAGTTGGACGCTTTTGAATCGACAATCAATACTTTGTCACCTCGGCTGGTGGAAAAGCACTAGAAAGAGATAAAAACTATGCGCCATTAAAACTAAATGTTGAAAAATGTCATAACGTAATAGAAGTTGGTTGCATTCAAATGATAAAATCCGTCATAGTACAAATTGGCAGCAGGATTATTCTTAAACTTCCGATATTTCGTTTGGTTCGCCTTGATCTAACAAAAATGATACAATTAAAATATGGAAAAGACTTCTTCGTAGTAAAAACGAATTAATAAAACAGACATAAAAATCGTTTATAAATCGCTTTACGTAAAAGGGTCAAGGTAAAGGAGAAGTGTGTCAAGAGGTCAACCTTTTGGCGGACATTTTTGTAGGTAGTTTTAACGTGCAACAATGCAGCTCATGAGATATTTGGTTGAAATGCAAGCCTTACCAACAAAATAAGGTTTCTAAATATCTCAATTAATAATCCCTAAACAAATTAGAAGATTTTGAAATTAAAAATTAAAAAATTTGATCCTAATCCGCAAGGCCACGAATTCAACATTCAACTTTACCTTTGACATTTTAATTAGAACACCATCTAGCGGTAAATTTATTATTTTTCTCGGTCATGTGTTATAGTTTTACATGTCTATGGTATTTTTATTGCAACCTCTTTTGTTTACGATAGATAGGGTTGCTTGAAAAGCAGAAAACGTTTTTGAATCAATGGAAATACCGATTTACAGAAATGAGTGATTTTATAAAAACAATAAATCTGCAAGTACTTTCGCAAAACTAAATACACTATTTTTTTACACGATTTAAAACTTCAAATGACACGAATACGCGAAAACTAAAGAGTTATAAATTATGAAACAATAACAAATAAAGTGTATTTTATTCTATTTGCATGTTATGTAAGAGTTGTACTATATTAACGTTACAATAAAGTATTCATAAATGTGGGCTTTACCTAATAGAATGTCTTCTCGCTCGTGGCAATAATCTCATATGAAATATTAATTTTGCTATTATATATAATACCAAACGAAATTTTTAGTTACATAAAACTGTTTCTCTTATTTCTGATAGTTCATTAACATATTTTCTTTTCACATCACGAACTTTCATATACTTCATTGTTTTTAACAGTCAATGAAATATTTTCATTGGTTTTAATATCGATTTCGTATTAATTTGGGTACGTTCAAAATCATAGATTATAGAGCAATACTTGAATCGACATCCCTATTCTCATGAATTATTTTTGTTATGTTTATTGTAATTATTTACTCATTACAATTTATAATTGTAATTAATTTAAGTACATAGAATCATATTTTAAAGATTCTAATGTCTATTTAAGTGAATAAAAGTAAACAAATTTTTATAGCCCGTCCATAATCGCGATTGAAACTACGATAAGATTATAAAATCATAATTGAAACTATGGTTTTTGTGTAAACAAATACTTATAACAAATATTGTATTCAAAATGAGTAGATGCGATTTTAAAATAGTTTTATTGGGCAGTGAACATGTTGGAAAGACTAGTTTGGTGCTTCGTTTCGTTAATTGTAGATTTAACGCGAGTGCACCATATCAAAACGTGAGTAAATATTTAAAAAAAAACTTCTTTGTTTTCACTACGAATCATCTCTTCGTTGATATCGAAATGACGATATCTATACAAATATTATAAAGCGGAAGAGTTTGTTTAAAAGCGCTAATCTCAGAAACTACTGGTCCGATCTGAAAAAATATTTTTTTGTTGGATTTAGTCCATTTATAGAGGAAGGCTTTAGGCTATATAACATTACGCTGCGACTAATAGTTTTTATTTTAAATCTGCGCGGGCAGAGTCGAGGGTGACAGCTAGTTTATCATAAGATATTTGTTTCATAATATTAAAACTAATCGCGCAATATTAAATCGAAAATTATGTCTATAAGATACTTGATATTAATCAATAGAATCTTCTAATAAGTATGATTATCCAGCCATGTATAACAAACTGTCTTGGTAACTAAAGAGGTTTTATAGTTCTCAATATGTTCTAAATTTTACTTTTCAGACGATAGGCGCGGCTTTTTGTGCAAAAGCAATGTATTCAAATGGCAAAACCTTCAATGTTGGTATTTGGGATACTGCTGGCAGTGAGAGGTAATTTAATTAATCTGGGTTTCTGAAACATCTGTATGGCGGATTGTAGCATTCGTTGCGTTATATTTGGCTTGTTTACGTACCAACATGTGTAGCCCATCCAAAAGTCTGACATCGACTGATATCCAATCTCTCCGGCATGGACTTATAGTGTGTACCCTTAAGACAAACAACACTATGTTTATGCATACACTACACGGATGATAATTCTTCCTGCTCTTTTCCTACAAACACTTTTGTACATCTCCTTTGCACATATCCTCTGACAATACACAATTGGGCTTCCCTTGTGTAGTCTCAAATTTTATTACTTTCTTATTTGCCTATCTCCCAATACTTACTCCATGCCATCCTAAACTTTTATTTATGAATTTCTCCGATATTACAGTACTTTTCAGATATCTTTGTGGCTCTTGTCTTTGAGCTGAGTTGTGGGTGTTCAGGACCTTGAGCGGCCAACATATTTGAAAAGGACTATACTAGATACTTTAATATTTTCCAGATATGAAGCAATGACTAAAATGTATTACCGTGGAGCTCATGCAGCGATTATATGCTATGATCCATCTTCTTATGCATCCTGGATTCGATTACGACACTGGCTGCAAGAATTGAGGACTGTGGAAGAGGTAACTTTGGAAATTTCATACCTTTGACCATTTTTCGTGAGAAATACAACCACACTAAAGATATATACTGAGCTTTGGTGGCTCAGGGGTTAAACACTTGACTTGTAATCTGCAGATCCTGGGTTCCAATCCTGCTATGTACCAATGTGTTACATTTATCGTATGTTGTTACGATGAAGGAAAACATCGTGATGCTGCACATATCTGAGAAAATCAAATGTGAAGTCTTGCACTGGACCAGCATTCACTATCACATACTCTCACTTAGGGTATGCACAAAGACCCTCAGTAGAGTATAGTGAGCTGATGATGACTGTATTTGCTACCTTTATATAATTTCGTTAGTTCGGAGTACTAAGATGGCAGTTCTTGTTTATTACATTTTTATATATGTTTTAGGATTGTAAAGTTTACCTGTGTGCAACTAAGAAAGATCTTCTCGACTCCTTGGCAGTGGAAAGGGAGGTACCTGAAGATATAGTAACAACATACTCCCAAGGTTTATCTGGACATTTCAGCACATCTAGTAAGACGGGAGAGAATGTTGGTGAGTCATTAGAATTTCACACTTTTCCCAAAAAAATAAAAAACTTTCCAAACTAAACCGATGCAAGATTTTTTTTAATATCATAAGGTGGCAAACGAGCGAGCGGTCACCTGAAATCGCTGAAATAGCGAAGTGACCATTGCTTATAGACATACGCAATTGCATGCACAGAAAGATAATATCTTCCCTTTTCATGCATCCTTTCATCCGGAAAGTCCACTTCCTTATAAGAAAAATAGTGGGAAGGGAAAGAGGACTAAATTAGGTCTCCGAAACGCACACTCATCAGACTGTAGTTGGAATTGCTTCCACTTGACGCCTGTCTTCTGTGTGCTCATGGTATTTCACTGAGCGAGAACAATTCCTGCTAACATGTTAAAGCGAGCACTACCACTGTTAAATCTTTCACTGAGTCATTTGCTTTTATTATTAATCTTATAAATATTATAAATATGTTTGTTTAAATGGATGTTTATTGGAAGATATCTCAAGAACGATTCAACGGATCTTGATGAAATTTGATGTAGAACATAGTCTGGAAGAACACATAGGCTACTTACTAAGATTTTATAATTCCGGACAGAGTCGCAGGCGACAGTTAGTCCTTTCATAATCCTTAGACTATTTGTTAACCTTCATCATGGTTTTTTCTAAGATTATGTTGACTAACTCTTGACTCGTCATTCTTATTTTCATTTTCCAGAGGAGTTATTCCAGAAGATAGTTGACGATTGTGCAGAAGATAGACAAGTAATGAAGAATGTAGAAGAAATGAGAATGCAACTCGCGAAAGAAGAAGCTGATAGATGTAAGAATAAAGAATATTGTTATTGCTAATAAATTGAAATATCCGACTCGAAGGACCAAGTAAGAGGTATCTTACTAATATTATAAATGCGTATGGATGGATGGATGTTAGAAGGTATCTCCAGAATGGCTTAAGAGATCTTGATGAAATTTGTCATACATATAGAACATAGTCTGGAAGAACACATAGTACTACGCAGTTTTTTTTTTTAATTTCGCTCGGACTGATTTGAGGTCGATAGGTAGTTAGTTATAAAGCAAGATTTCCTATATTTTGTGATATTTTTGCTTACTTTAATAAATTGTTCAGGCAGCTTTAAAAAAAATTATAAATTACGAAACCAAAGAGTTATCTTTATTTGCTTGCGGAAATTAATTTCTGATAAAAGTAAAAGAAAAATCTTTGACAATTTTAAAACAAATAAAACAGATTTTGCCTTTTAATTGCTAAATACGAAATCTATATATTGGAAAAATTTGAAATTTACGCTGAAAATTCTAAATTTTTTCTTCTTAAACATTTTCTTAGGACCTTGTATTTTTTATAACAAAAACACACGTGTATTGTTAATTTGTATTTGAAAAAAGGCTTTAATTATTTAAGTGGTTAAAATAAAGTATGTTTTTTACTGCTGATTTTGTTTTTTTTTTAAACTAGTAGTAAATTCCTCCTTTATTTTTTTTTCATTGGAGAATGCTTGGGGGGGGGGAAGACGCGGTAGCAATGTGGGATTCTGTTCTGGATGGGAAGCACACCCACTAAACTCCTCTGTTCCTCAACGCATCATGGCGAGGACACGGGTACGCTTGCTCTCTCGCTCGCGACCTCGCCTGTGTAGTTTACTTGACTACATAAAATATACGTTCTTTGGCTGAAAGTCTATTTATTGTAGAGTGATTTGGTTTTTTTTTGTATTTTTTTTATTATTTTCTTAAAAGGATCAGTCAAAAGTAAACATGTAAATTGTGTACCTTTTTCATTTCTGAATATAATCGTAAAATTGTGATAAATTTTACGATTTAATTCAACCAAAGCAATATTTATTTTTATCGTGTATAAAAATGAGAAGAGGCCAGTGTTTTGTTTTGGTGCAATTCTGTGGTATGGATATTTTATATTTTTTAAAATAAAATAATTAAAAAAAAAACATTAAAAAGAGGATAAAACAACAAACAGGGAGAAAGTCAGTAGTAATTGCTAACCTTTAAAAACTGGTAGAGTACGTGTCTTGTTTGCAATACCACGACCTTCACGGAATCACAGCTGATTACTACATTCTGATGAGTGTGCCGGACTCATTTTTTTTATATCATAAGGTGGCAAACGAGCGAGCGGCCACCTGAAATCGCTGAAATAGCGAAGTGACCGTTGCCCATAGACATACGCAATTGCATACGCGTTGCCTACCTTTCATCGACGGAGGAGAGGATGCACAGAAATAACATATCTTCTCTTCCCATCCTTTCCTTATAAGAAAAAGGGTGGGAAGGGAAAGAGGACTAAATTAGGCCTCCGGGATGCACACTCATCAGACTGTAGTTGGAATAGCTTCCACTTGACGCCTGTCTTCTGTGTGGTCGTGGTATTTCACTGAGCGAGCCGGGACAATTCGTGCGAACATGTTAAAGCGGGCTCTACCACTGTTTAAATTTTACTCCTCTGTCCCTTCCCACTCTCTTATAAGAGATTGGAAGTGGATTTACCAGAGGAGGGGACGCGTAGAAAAGGATTCCTCTTCCTTTGCATCCCGTTTATTTAACCGATCTATTACGCCCGCGAGTTTTGGGAACAGGGCCGGGTTTTTCCAGCACACTGGATGAGATTTTTGGAACGATATTTTTGGCGTCGAGGGTAATTTTCTAAATTTAGGGTATCTTAGGGGACATAGCAGATTCTCTTTTATATATAACTCTGGCGCATGAAATGCCTTATGCCAGGCCCTAAACAGTCGCCACATTCCTGGGCTAAAGTCGCTACTGATTGAAATATTATTTTTTTTCCAGTAATTACTCTAGCAACTAAACCGAGAAGTGTAAACCTCGCTTTAGAAACAACATTTGAATTCAATAATAAACAAGACGTATCGATTATTCAAAAAGTTCGTAATTTCTTAAATAAAATTGAAAATGTCGTTGATAAGAAATTAGCTAAACGTAACGGAGAGACAACAGAATTCACAGATTTCTTACAAGATTTAATTTCAACAATCAATACTTACGAAGATGATGATTTTAAACAAGTATTCAGAGTTCTAGATAACGTTGTACATAATTTTAAATCGAAAGATAACAAATTCAATCAGATATATAACGAAAGATTAAAATATATACTAGCAAATATGTTGAAAAAAATAAACAAAGCGCCAGCTAAATTTCTAAGAAGTCAATTGAAAAAAAATCTAAGAGTCATTCAAAAGAAAGATATAAATTTAGATTTTTTAAAATTTTTAAATATGATTTATAAGAAGAAATCATCGACAGCATTAAAACAGACGCTGGATAATTTCAAAAATTACGGTAAAAAAACACGAACATCTGACGTGGATATGAATTTAAAAGACATTATAGAGAAAGCTGTCAAATCTATAATCTATGACCAATATAATAATTTAAATTCAGATTCGCAAAAAGAAGTTCAAATATGGATAAAGGAATTAACAAAAAATCCCGACGACGATGATGATAGTTTAAAAAGGGAAACCCCGAAAATACATTACAAAAAGAAAAAACACGATATTACCAGAGACAAATATACATTCGTAACATTATATCCTGAAATGATAACGTATAATATAAAATATCTAAATAAAATATCTAGACAGAAAAAGAGGGAAAAAAATATAAAAGAAAAATACAATGATTACAAAGTTAAAGAATTTAGTCCGGTGTCTAACGATGGCTCTAACAGTTCCAGCAGTTTGGAATACGATTGGCAAACACGACCAACACGAAAGTATGTCCATAGACAATTTATTTTTTTATTTCTAAATAATGACATCTGGCAACACAGAGTCCCAATTAACCTTGTCAGGTGCAATACCACAACCACACAGAAGACACGCCTCAAGTGGAAGCAATTCCAACTAGTCTGATGAGTGTGCGAGTCAGAGGACTAATTTAGTCATCTTTCCCTTCCCACTCTTTTCTTATAAGGAAAGTATTAGGGCAAGTTGATTTGACGGAGGTGGGGATATATTATTTTTCTGTACGTCCCTACTCCCTCGTATTCAAGTGGCCGCTAGCTCGTTTGCCATCGAGATATTAAAAAAAACTATACCTACCGAGATTCTTATCGCTGTTTGTGCCGGAGTACAATTCTATTCCTCGTCCCTCCACCATCCTCTTATAATAAGGAAAGGGGGAAGTGGTTACGTTAGAAAATATATAAAATTAGGTACAAATCTGCTTCGTTATTTTACGATTTCAAGTTGTCGATTGCTTGTTTGCTATCTTGTCCTGTAAAATGGTATAATTATTACTAATAAGTAATTATCTTTCGCAATTAACTATATTTGATAATTGTTTATGTTACTAATATAAATGCGAATGTTTAGATGGATGGTTGTTTGTTTGAAGGTATCTCTAAAACGGCTGAACAGATCTTAATGCAATTTGTCATACATATAGAACATAGTCTGGAAGAACACGTAGGCTAATAATTAAGTTTTTTTTTTAATTCCGCGCGAACTGACTCGCAGGCGACATCTAATTATTAATATTTTTAAAACAGGAGAAAAGTAACACCACAATGGCACACAATACCTAGACCGTTGAAAGTAAGAGTCACAAGAAATAATCCATTTGGTATATACAATAATGCGTACAAATTTCAATTGCCTCAAATGCTTAGAAGAACAGAATTAGATGAGAAAGACTCGAACAAAACTAATAACGAAACTTGTCCGAAAGAAATTATTACCGCGAATTATTTGTCAAAGATTAAAAACCTCGAAGATGAGTTACAAAGAGTAAGAGAACAATTGAAAGCTAAAATTACCACATTAAAAAAAGATAACCATGGTACAGATGATAAAGAAATAGACAAAGATAACGAATTATACTTCAGAGTATCCGATTTATCTTCTCCTGTAACATTAAAAAGAGATTTAACAAAAAGACCTAAAATGATGGAATACAAATTAATCGAATTAAAAAATAAAACAGAAGATAATACAACTAAATACAGTGAAGAATTTTCTCACGAATCTAGAGAAATGTCATTTGATGTACCATATAACATGACATACAGATCGACAAATCAATCTATTTATATATCTAATCAGACGTCAATGGAAATATTCTCGCCAGAAACTACATTTAAATATAATATAACTACAATAAAACCTATAATAAATATCCCAAAAGTAACAAATACGACGTATTTAAATGAAATTGAAAATACAACAAAATTGATTAAGGAAAATAATACTGTCAGTCAAGAAATTTCAAATTAAAAATATCTCTATCCTTGTCCCACTCATGTGGGGTTAACGCGACAGGTTAGGACCCTCATACTGGGCTAGACAAAGAATACATAACGAACTTCCAAAATGTACAGAACTGTCAAAAACTTTGGATAAGTCACGTGATTGTCGCGCGTCAGTTCTATACATTTTTTAAGTTCGCTATGGAGTCGCTTCGTAGCGAATCGATTTTGTCTAACCCCGCGGGTCGATCTGCCATTATCTTAATCATCAATCCCTTCCTCCTCACCCCTAATCATGATTTTTAATAGTTAATAAAAATTCTAATATACAATTTTCTTTTTATGGTCTTATTTCCAACTGGATAGCCACAGTGGACTTATCACGAACATTTGCGACAAGTGCCTTGACATCGGCATTACTAATAATGACAAAATTATTGTGAGTTTTTTTTAGTAAATTTTGAACAAATCTTGTCGATGACGTTTGCCATAATTATTCGTGCTAGACCTAAATCTCCATAAATGGATAAATCGGTGCTTGAAAATGACAACATTTGCTAAATTCCGACTTAAACACGCCAGAGTTCCTGACAGATAATCCTATCTCTATTATTAGTTCCAAACCTTACCACTGCTACCAACAGCAACCTTCAGCGACAAAATGGCAAATATCAAATAGGCACAAAATATCACTGTTTATAGCCTATCCATGTATTTTTCAATATGGTAACATTAGGGAAACGAATTTCTGGGTTTTGACTCGTTTCCCAAATAAAAAAAAACAATAAATTATCATTTCTTTAATATACAATGTAGGAAAATTATATTTTTTTTATTATCTACATATGAAAGATCAGAGGCATTCATAGATTAAAAAACATACACATTTTGTAACAATATTTTTGATATATTTTGTCATTTTATCTCTGAAAAATATTATATCCCTTTAAATAACGTGAGTAAATACTTGTTTATATAGAGTTTTATTAGATAATATTTAATATATACTCGATTATTATAAATAGATTCATGTAATCTACAAAATGCCTTCAAAAATTATAAATGCGAATCTTAAGAATCGATTTTTAAAGTTTTTCTTTTTTTTAATATTACTTTAATTTGTCAATTTTTACAAAAAGAAATACAAAATTTTATATATATATTATAAATATATATATAAAATTTTGTATAAAAATATAAAAAACGATGGTAATTCATCATATAGAGATATTATCACACAATATTGACATCGAAAACCTTCAAAATATACATATTCCTAAAGATATGAAATTCATAAAACATTTTTGCAATGTTTACACATTTTTAAAATTTCTATAAAATATATTTTTGTCCTAACAACAGGTTAATGGTTCTCGATATACAGACCGACATCCGACCCGGTGGGTATAAGTCAAACTAAATTACGACAGCTCACTAGCGCCCCTCAGTCTAATCACATTTTGTCTTATATAACCTTTTCTTTAAATGATAGGAAGAGGAAGACTAAGATTGACTAAAGCTTAGTCACCTTTGATTTATGGTAGGATTGGAGCTCCTCAGTGGGGACGTATAGTGAGCTGATGATGCAGGAAGAGGACATATTGTCTTTAATGCGTCGCATTTTAAAAGGTAGACAACGCATCTGCAATTTTGAAGAAACAATAGTCTTAAGGTTAAGGGTACAGATTTCCGATCACGGGGTCGGTGGTTCGAATCCCAACATTCGACTATTGTAAACGATAACACAAGCCTAGAGCTTAGTTGGAACTGTACAATATTAGAAAATTAACAAAAAGCGACTATGTAAAAAAAAAATTCCTAAGATTAAATAGGTTCCTTACCGGGTCAGATAATTTTTTTTTTACAATTTACTATTAGGAAGTAATCTCATAGCTTCCCTATATCCACTATCACTGGCTCCATGTACAGTTGAGAAATGTGTTAAATCAGTTGCTTCTCCAGCAAACAATACTTTAGGAACTCCAGCACTATCCAGTAAAGGTCGACCTAAATCAGCCCTAGAATTAGGGTATTTCATTGACGTCACACTATCGTAGGAATAACTACCCCTAGTGAATGGATTTGTAAACCATGTTGTCCTGAAAATATTAATTTTTATACTATTGAAAAGCAATTTGATAAAAGCGCCATCTATTAGTACAAAAAATCCATAGAAAAATTTAACTTTAAAACTAAAGTAAAAATCATCAGTTTCTGGTAGAAAAAAAATTATAATCTCCGGACATTTGACACAGATGTAGAACATAGTCTGGAAGAACACATAGGCTACTTATAAAAAAAAAATTCCTCGCGGACGGAGCCGTGGACCACAGCTAGTTTCAGATAAAAACAACTACTAATATTATAAATGCGAATGTTTAGATGTTTGTTAGAAGATATCTCTAGAACGACTGAACGGATTTCAATAAAATTTGTCATACATATAGAAAAGTCTGGAAGAAACCATAGACTAAAAAGTTTATTTTTAATTCTAGTAATAACCGTTATATAATTTATCGTTTTTGTTTTAAATATTTTGACTTAAAATAACTTACCGATGCATGCCTGTAGGTTCAGGAACGGTTACATTAGCTCCAAGAAACCTTTGCAGTAATTCTACACATTTCCTCTTCACAACATCTTCTGGTAATGTCTCCACCTGTCAAATATAATTCTATCAACTTCTAGAAGATGAAATAACTAATATTCTACTCAACCTAAATATTTTTACCATAGACAAATTGCTAATTTATCGCTAAATTTACGTAAATTAATTAAATTTTCTGTTTAAAAAAAACTCACAAAACGATTTAATATTTTACTATACCACTTTAATTTAAAAGAAAATAACTGAAAAAACGTCAAATGTCGTAATGGCCGCCATGTTTGGTATTTGACGTGCATCCGTTTACTTAATATTGTTTTTGATTTGAATTTAAATATTAGTATTATGCAATGAGCGTCGGTGGCTCAGGAGTCAAGCACTTGATTTGCAAACTGCAGGTTTTGGGTTCGAAACCCGCCATGTACCAATGTGTTACATTTATCGTATGTTGTTACGGTGAAGGAAAACATCGTGATGCTGCACATATTTGTGAAATTCAAAGATATGTGTGAAGTCAACTCGCACTTGGCCAGCATTTGACTATGGCCTAGTCACTCACTTAGGGTAGACTCCGAGCCCCTCAGTGGGGATGTATAGTGAGCTGATGATGAATTGTGCAATAATGTTCAAATAATATAAATTTCATGCAAAATAACACCCTTACAATAAAACCCACCAATTTCCCTGTATCTCCGCTTGTCCATAGAGTTAACGTATTACTAGAACCTAAGGGAGTGCTAGCACCAAATATCTTTGTTATCCACGAATCTTCTTCTGGAATCTTCTTCTTCTCTTCTCTTCTCCATAGAAACGCAAAGAAAGTATGTAATGTTGGCCACCATGGTTTATCGAATGTGAAAATTATTTTGTCCATGACACCAATTGTTAGATTATCTATAGCCTGAACTTTGTCTATGGGTAGTGATGGTTTGAATAGACTTGTGTGCCTGAAAGATGAAAACAATGACAATGGCAAATGAAATATAACAGATAATAATATCTTTTTTTTTAATTTTGTTTTCAAATATAAAATTCAATTGAAATTTAAAAAGTTAAACATTTTAATCTACTAAACGTAATTGAAATTTTAAATAGATTTCTCGGTTCATGTATCGATTTTTTTTAACATTACATCACTAGTAAAATGACAATGACAGCTGTCACTTTGAATAGTATGACTTTGACATTAGCTTAGGAAATATTCGATATGTTGAAGATACGCATATTTTAATAAAAAGGATAGAAATTGAATAGACAAACATTACTACAAAATACCTAAGTTTTAAGGAAAGTCTATCACAATTGGACATTTCGTAAAATCTCGTAGAAAACAAATCAATGACCTAAACATATGAAAATATTATAAATGCAATTTTCACATGCTCATGCTGTTTAAATCTTACTAATATTATAAATGCGAATGTTTGGATGTATGTATGACTGGATTTATGTAAGTTATCTCCAGAATGATTGAATGTCGATGAAATTTCGTATAAATATACAACATAGTCTGGAAGAACACATAGAATAATAATCAAGTTCTTTTTTAATTCCATGCGGACGGAGTCGCGGACGATAGATAGTTATCATATAGGTCCCATGCAAATTGCTTTATTAAATTTAATAATATTGCCAGTATAATGTAAGTTAAATGCTTTTGATGATTTGGCCCAAAATTATAAAACCTCCTTGGTAAGAAATTAAAAAAATACTGACCAATTTCGCGGCATCTCCATTATACCATAGAGTCAATGTATTACTAGAGCCGAACGGCACAGACCCAAAATATGTCACCCAACCACTGTCTTTAACAGCTTTATCTCTTTCTTGTTTGGTTTGATTAAACCAAAATGCATTACTATTTGGCCACCATTTATTAGGATATGAAATAACAACTTTATCAACAACACCCATAGACAATCTTTGAATAGCTAACACCTTTTCTTCAGGTAAAGATGGCGTAAAAAGTGTCGTATATCTGAAAATTATCTATTTTATTTATCAAATATTACTGCTATTTAATTGTTCTAAGATTTTTTCATGATTGTCTCATATTTTTTAAACTGTCATATTTTAGTTTACTCTGTGGTTGTATTTGACAGGTTATAACCCTAACCTCAATTTAAACACTATAAAATGTAACAAACATTTGTCTAATTCCATCATTCCTTTTACTAAAATATGTTTATTTTCTATATAATTTTAATTCGCTAAGATAATGTCAAGTGCTCTAAAAATCCGGTCTGATGACCAAAGGTAAAAAAGATCTGCATCTCGTCTCTAACCTCGCAATATTACTGACATTGTCAGACACAACTTCGAACTACAACTTTGTATAACCTACAAATTATATTAAAATTACGATGCACTTGTCAACACAATAAAACCTCCTTGGTTTTTTCAAATACATTCATAATATTATATTACATACTAAATATTTTTTTTTAACATAAGAGATGCCGAACGATTTGTATTTGCAGATACGTTGCCTATCTTTAATTAACATTAGGCTCGCATAGAAAGTGGATATTTTCCCTTCCTATGCTTCCCCTCCTTTGTCAAATCTATCTCTCACACCCATCCTTTATAAAAGAATGGTAAAAGAAAGAAGAGTAAAATAAATCCTCCCGCACACACTCATCAGAGTATAGTTGTAATGAGTTGACTTGAGCCATATGTTCTGTGAGGTTGTGGTATTGCAGCGAGGCACACATTGCAACACATGTTGCTGGCTACCACTGTTAAAATTGCTTCATTCACATAAGTCAGGTCCATCGGGGACAAATTAAGGTGAACGAGACTGTATTAACCCTCCCTTCCGATAAATCACTGATACCAAAGTGTTTCCCAAACTTGTTTACTTACCTTTCTTTTAAAACACCAATAGATATAGTGATAATAACATTATTAGCTTTGTAAACTTCTCCATTTTGACATGTCACTTCTACTGGAGTTAGAGGTTTTTGCGGCCAAGCTATTTTAGTCACTTCCGTGTTCAATTTAATGCTCAAATTAGCTAAGCCGGGACCACCTTGATAGGTATTCTGGAAATTATTTATATCTACTTTGAAATTGGAATAACACAGTCACCTAGTAACATAAATTATAAAATTTCTCTATGTTGCAGATTTTTTGCAAAAAAAAAAAAGAAACTTAACGTTTAAGATTTTTTAAAGATATTGTACGATATAATCAAGGCTTTTCTAATTGAAAATGACTACAAAAATGAAAAAGAAACGAAGAAAAAGCACATAAAAGCAATAAACTCACCAGTAACATTACAAAAAAGGTTTTATAACCTCAACATAAAAAGAAAAAAAACTCACCAGTAACAATTCAAAGAAGGTTTTATATCCATTCCTATGCCAGCTCATGTGTTGATCACCATCCAATTCTTGATAATGTGTGAAAGTGCTGACATCGTTCCAGCTGTTGGAACCTTCGTAGTTACCAACTATCTGATCCATTAGATCTAGAAAATTCTCCATGAAATCTTCATCTTGTAGAATTGATGGTTTTGTTGCATTCAAATGTTCTTTTAATCTGGAAATTAAATCAAATAATTGTCATGTCACCCTTTTTCTCATAAGGAAAGAGGAAGTGGACTTTCCGGATGAAAGGATGCATGGAAAGGGAAAATATTTTCTATCTGTGCATCCTCTCCTCCGTCGATTAAAGGTAGGCAACGCATATGCAATTGCATATGTCTATGGGCAACGGTCACTTCACTATTTCAGCGATTTCAGGTGACCCACTCGTTTGCCACATTATGATATAAAAAAATCTAGAGAATCTATAAAATTATTTCATGCTTACTTTTTAGTGAGAAAATCTCCCAAAGGTAAATTATCATTTGTACTATTCTCAACCTGCCCCAAACAGAACTCTACTAATTCATTGACTAATTCTTTATCTGCATGTCTTCCGTCTGATGAATAGGCATCCATTGTCAAATCCTGTGACAATACTGTGATATTATTCTTAATAGCTGTATCATAAACTCTACTCGGACGAGTGCCATGAATCCTGTAAACAAAAAAATTACATGTTGATTAGTTCAACAACCCTACTATAAATGACCAAAATGGAACAGACAATTTTTTTTCTTTAATTTTGTCCAAAACCATTTAAATGGGACTTTTCGGGTCACGCTGTATATAATAATTCGATTAGAAAGCCACAGCGAGGTGTTGAATGGAAGTACGGCTTGTCGGACGCATAGTCTGACACGTCCTGATTGAAACATTAGCTTGTCTGACATATAGTCCCGGCATGGCGGCTAACTTGTTAAAGAAATTATAAACTCGCTTCTTGAAGGACCTATTTCGTATTGACGTTTCGACTTACCATTCAGCACCAAGTTCAACAACGCCATCACCAAACTGTACCGTATTGACTCGACCTCCAATCCTGTCTTGAGCTTCTAAAGCAAGCACGCGCCTGCCAGCTCTTGCTAGTGTGGTTGCCGCAGTTGTCCCCGCTGAACCTAAACCGATCACTATTGTGTCGTACTGCATTGTCGGTCTGGAAAAACAAGATGTGTATGGTAAGTATAGACTACAGCTTTTACTCGTAACATAACAATTCACTCTATATGTTCTAGTGTAGGGTCGCCAGGTCGCCAAACTTAATAGCCAATAGACCAGCCAGTTTGGCCAAACATTTGAGTAGAAAAGTTAGACACCCTACATGCAACAGTTATTCGTCGCCTGCGCTCAGCCACGCTCGTTTGCGAAATGTAAAAAGCCTTTCAAAAGCCGGACATCCCGGACACTATTTTTGGCTTATCTATGTCCGGCTTTCTCCGGGTGCCTGGCAACACTATTCTAGTAGATAACTCTTCCATGAAACATATATGATTTGGAAACTGCTTTTACCTGTATTTAGTAAGAATTACATAGAAATATTTGAGAAAATTCTCTAATGTATTACGGGTGTACACTGGAACAGAGTCCAATAGCCTAATGGGTAAAAGGGTATGGATTTTCAAACATGTTGTGAGAGTTTGAATCCCGTCATTTGATTATTATCGTAAACCATAACCAAGTGTAGAGATTACTTGTCATGGTATTAAAAATGTTAGTAAATTAACAAAAATCTACTTATATTTAATAATAAAATCTTATACATGTGTATAAAAATGTATTCTCATACTAATCTTCAAAAAAATGTACAGTAAAAACTTCTTATGACCAAAACCATAAAAACAAAAAAAAAACAAAACTGTCTTAAACACTACAAAATATTTTAAGGTAATAAAGACTTTAGTTTATTGACTGAATATTGCCAGTCCCTACAATAAAATCGGTTATAACCTGTTCTAACTTGTTATAACCAGTTTTGACTGTATTCTTTACTAACAAACCCTACACATGATCCTCTGAATAACTAAAAACCTAACTTTGTTATACCCAAACAATATAAATTGTAGGCTTTTTATTATTTTTAGCTTTTATAACCATTCTAAATGCCTTAAAATTGTAAAAAAAAAGATGCAAACTCTATAAATATATAGTGGTCCTATTCATTTTGATTTTATTTTTTTAATCGAAAATAAATTTTGTCGTAATTTCGCATATAGTACAATGAGTATATTACATTTACTAGTTAAAAGTTGACTTATAGTTTTAAATGTGCAATGTATCCATTGTTTTTTTTCGAAGGTATCAATTTAAACAAAGGAAACTGTAAGGTACACCTGGCTTTAATGTCAAATTCTATAGCAAAATATTTTAGTAAGTGTTAAATTATATCAATTATTTCTTTGATAAATGTACGAAAACACAACTAATAACTTGGTTATAAATTAAATTATAAACGTATGTCATTGTTTAACCTTTCTAGATAATTGAAAACATGTTGATAGGAACACTATACAAATAATAACATATCGATTAGGTTATGTTTAGTTTCTTAAACAAATAATGATAACAGTACCTTGTAATGAATGTATGATAACCCCGAAGACCTGTCGTCTAATATATAATTATATAATGCCTTGCTATCATTAATGAAGAACCGGATTTATTGCATCTTCCACTCATGATCTTATTTATCTATCACTTTGACTTTGACATTTTGACACTACTTTGACATAACCATAGATAAAAATTGTTGTTTTTAATTGAAACACGGTGTAAAAACATTTTCTTTTAAAACATTGACATAAACTTTTAATGAAAACCTGCTGTAATATTGCTGCAATATTTTACACCTTATTCGTATACGGTAAAAGAAATATAATACTTAAAAATAACACAAATTAAATTATTAAACTATTAACTTTAATAACCATTTCTATAATTTTTATGTTATTGTTTTGAAAGAAAACTTTTAGAACATAAATATACGCTTCATAGGTTTTCACTATTATTATTTATTCCGTAAAAATCGTCCATTTATTTAATCTCACAAATGTTATTAACTTATATATAAAATGTATTGAGAATACTTAATTCACACTTTACTTAGAACATAAGATAAAAAACAATCTAAAAAACTCACTCATCAGCCCCGGCAAAGGCAAAATATAATAACAGAGCCGCAACTCCTCGCCCCATCATTATTATGCCCGACAATAACTAAATTAGCGTTCCTCTATCATTTATACCAACCTTATCGATCTAAACTAGTTCAATAAACTGGCTTCAGTTTATAAAAAAATATTACTTTTATTTATACATATCTCTTCTTAAGATTTAATTATTGATTCAAAATATCAATTAAAATTGGGCCTTTTGTAAACATTTTAAAATTTTCTTTTAACAAGATTCAGACCATACAAACAGATTATTTTTATATCTATTGATTTGTCATGGTCATTTTACTCAATAAATGTAGTGTAAAAATATCTGTTGACATTCCAACAGCGGAAGAGTAATCTTAATAACAAGATGTCTATTATTTTGTTATCTTTTTTTACAATCCACGGACGTAATAAGGGGTAGACAAGACAAAGATTAAGGTCCTGACTCATTTCTCTTACATCGCCTACATTCATAATTTTTTTTTTTTAATAATTTAAATACTTAGTGGATTCACTTAATAATTCCAATCCAGAATTATCTTTGTTAAACTTGACTATTACAGTCCTAAATTTAAAAAAAAATTGAAGTGGATGTTTTTAAGACGTATAATTTTTTTTTTCAACCTTAACAAAGACTGATGAAATTAAAAAAAAAATTATAATATAATTATTTATTATTAAAATATTATCTCTAATAACAATCAAATTATTATAACGATATATACAATTGACTACATTCTATTAAAAATTAAAAAGTGTACCCAGAAGTTAAAAATAAAAATCCTTAACTATTCTATGTGTAAAAAAGGAAATCGATCTTTCCAAAAAAAAAAAAACTTCGATTTTTATTGTCTTTGATATAGCAAAATTTAATTCAATAGTCTACAGTTTAACTCTTTGACTATATGTAGTCACGCAACCATCGACTCATCTCCGGTACCAAGTATAGATGCATTTTAAATTCGCTATAAATATATTAAAACGTAAAGAAAAAGCAAAAAATACTTTTATATGTTAACTTATTATGTTGTTTTAATTTACGAAGAAAAATATTAACTGGAAATGTCAATTTTTTTAACCCTTAATACGATGGTGTCCAGTGTGACGAGCAACAATTAAAAAAAAAAACTTTTTTTTAACTAGTTTAGAGAAAATTACGTAACGCTATAAGAAAAAAAATCGTCGAATTAAGGGTTAATCATATCAAATATGTCCAGTAGTGAACTGATAAATAAGAATTTATTTTAGTTCCTTAAATGTTTCAAAACAATCGGACAGATTTTGATGAATCTTTGGTATGCTCCAAGGACACCAAAGAAGGTTTAGTGCATTAAAAAATCTAAAATAAAGGTAAAAATATTTTTCATTGTGTAAATCGTATTTTTATATGAGATCTAACAAAATGGAATGGGGAATTTAAGGATTTGCCTTAGTGTTGAAAATACCGTAATATTTATAGACTGCACATAAATATTTTATATTTGCCGCAAATAAATATAACAAAGGTAACGTACAAAACAATAAACAATGTTAATTCATGTATTCTCCCTGAAATGTAACCATTAAGGGTAATAAATATTTAAGTTTTCCCCATCTGAAAAATGTAACATCCTGTATAATGTCAAGTCATAGTCATTCGTACATCTATATATATATAAATCAATTGCTTTAGTCTCGCTAAAACTCGAGAACGACTGAAAGGATTTATCTTATTTTGGCCTTGAATGTTGCTGGAGGTCTAGGGAAGGTTTAAAAAGTGAGAAAAATTCGAATAATTGCCGGGAAAGCCCTAAAAACATTTTCATTTTCCCATATATCGTTTGAGGCAGAACGAAATATGCCGGGTCAGCTAAGAAGAAATAAATATGTTTTTTTTTTAAAAGACAAACTTTTTAAAAACAATACTATAAAAAGTTATATAAATTACAAGACTAATTAAGATTCTGTTTGCATATGAAGTTTAACTTCTAATAATTGTTGGCGCAATTGTAAAATACTATACAGGATGTTAGAATTTTCAGTTTTCAATACTTAGACATCTTTAACCCTTAAGGGTTATATATCAAGTAGAATAGATGAACTAACCCAACATATATACCAAGGCTATCCGAACCGGGCAAGTCAAATTTTGACAGCTCACTAGCACCCCTTTATCAAAGTCAAATATTGTCAGAAGATCTTAATACTGTAGACGTCATGTCATTTTCTATATCTAAGTAGGTTTTATATATTGCGTCGAACCCAACCGACGTAGCAATGCCTTTTACAGATTCAAATATCCTTGTTTGAATTTAATTTTTGTATTAAAAATCGACACATGTCAATATCAAGTACAACCATAGACAAGTTTTGTTCTTTTCAACTGTCAGTTGGTGGGCGCCAAGTGACAGCACGCATTTTCCTATTAATCTCTTGTAAGATAACATTGCATCTAGCGATTTGTGCTGGTTTTAACTGAGGTGTTGGATCACGTCCTCGCTCGCCAACAGCTGGGGAGCGATTGGCGCGTTTCAAGGCACGTCTACGACGAGCCCTTGCAGTTGCTGGAATATAAACAACTATAATCTAACTGTATTTATCTATACTTATATAAAAAGAAGGAAGATTTGTTTGTTTGCATTGAATAGGCCAACAAACTTTCACTTTTTAGAAGCTAAACTATCCACTGCAGACACAGACTATATATTACTAGACTAGCTGTAGCCCGCGACTCCGTCCACGCGGAATTAAAATTAAACGTAATAAATAGCCTATGAGTTCTTCCAGACTATATTCTACATCTATGCCAAATTTCAATAAGATGAAAACAGACAACAAACAAACATACATCCATCCATCCAAACATTCACATTAATTACTAAGATATAAGATTTGATTTGAATCTAGTGAACAAAAATTCATATTGCAAAATGAATCATAGGAATTAGGAATGTGTAGGACAATTTGTTTGTTTTTTGTGTAATAAATATTATATTTACCAGTTTCTCCCTTTTCTTTCTTGAAATCATTTTCAATAGTTGTAGATAGAGATCTTTTCTTTGGCGACTGCAAGAAAAAATGGTTTAAATTAATCAATAACAAAAAAAGGTTGTATTTGATTAGACATTTACAAAGATAATAATCCTGTGTTTATAAAACTAGGTAGCCCGTGACTCCATCTGTGCGAAATTATTAAAAACAATTAATTAACAGCAAACGCGTTCTTCCAGACTATGTTCTACATCTATGCCAAATTTCATCAAAATCCATTGAGCCATTTCCGAGTTATCTTCAAAAAAACATCCATCCTTCCATCTAAACTTTCGCATTTATAATATTAAGACAAGAGTGTATACTCTCTTGACTTACTTTCTTCTTTTCCTTCTGGTAGTGCTGTGAATCATAAAACTGCGGCTGTGAACGTCTCACTCTTCCAGTCCTTCGTCTAATATCTTCAGAAGCCGGCAGTGTGTCGGCACCACGTCGTGCCGCGAAGAACGTGTGCCCACACTTACATGACTTTGATGCTACAGCCACCTGGATGTAATTACTAGAATTATTTTTTTATATGATAAGATGACAAAAAGATAAAAGACGAATGAGCAAGTAGCCAACTGAATTCGCCATAAATAGGGGTTTGGCGTAAGAAAAATTGTTCAGTAAGATATTTGTCAAGATGGTAGATGAATTATTATTGTTCTGATTTTTTTTATACAAACAACAACATATCGGTGTTTCCAATTACTAAGTGAAAGTAGATATTTTGGTATATAACTTTAAAACACTTTCCATGTTATTTGCTACACAAATTAAAACAAATTACAGACCTGTAGTTCGCATTTAGGACAGCTTTTCGCGATCATTTTATTTTTACCCATTTTGTACATTTAGCATGGATGGCGTCTCTGTTTAAAAAATAATAGATATTTAATAGATAGACGTAATAGCAGCTATTAAACGTAAAATTATTATGATGAAAATATACAAAAAGAAATTATAAAAATTCCCTACTCTATTCTGTCAAATGTCAAACCAAGTAAAAAAAAAAAGTAACTAAGAGTAAACAACAATCAAATCAAAGAGTAATTAAGAAAAACCATGGCATTGTTAAGAAAACGGTCTAGTTTAGCACGTTTTATTTAATTAAAATACTGCAATAATTTTAAACCCAGAAGCCGAATAAATTTCGAATTATTTTTTTCCATTCAGTCCTGAAAATTCCATGTTTCTCTGTTGTGGAATATAACAAGGTAACAAAATTCTATTAAACAATATTGAATAATTCTCTGCACAGACCGTATTATTACCATAATAAAATAGATTGTATGAATTCATGTCATATTAACAATTAAACTAAAAGTTGTTTTATTACCGACAAAAGTGAAAAATGAAAGATATCCAATAACTATTACATAATTTATTTTCTTATCACATCTGTATACCTGTGATACTTTTAAACATTATCGTGATTAAAAACAAAACATTGTCAAATGTCATAAATGGGACTATATTGATTTTAATTTGCGAAAGGAAAGTGTTTTATTTTCATTATAATTTAAAGCTTGAATATTAGTGCAGAATAGAAAAAGATGTTTTATAATTTTTCTTGTTTAAAAATACAACTCCGGTTAATTAATCTTAAAGCTTTATTGCTGAACTATGGGTTTGTGTAGTGTTTTTAACCATCGTATTTAAAATAAATAATCATGACCACTCAAGAAGTAGACGAAGAACATCCGCAGATTATTTTAAAACAAGAAGATGAAGAAATATCAGAAAAATCGGTACAAGAGATGAAGCCACCATTGGACACGAAAGTGCCGAAAAGGTTTTTTTTTACATTTAATTTAGAACAAAAAACATTAAATAATTCTGCCAAAGATTAAATATGTTATTTTTTGACATTATCGGACTGGAATACAATTAATCAATTTTTACTAATTTCATATAATATAAATAATTTAAAAATGTTAAACAAATTTAAATCATATTAAAGAGGTTTTCATGATCGTTATATTATGGAAGACAATCTAATAATTTAATTTATAATCTACTATTAGCAAACTACAATTTAACAAACAATGAATTCAATATTAAAAATGTTTATTTTGTTCCAGCAGTAAATTAACAAAAAAATTGGGTTCAAAAAATCCTCTCACCTGTAAAATCTGCCAGAAAACATTCAAAACCAGCCAGCCTTTGAGAATTCATATAAGACAAATGTACTTTAACCTTAAAGCCAAAACATTGCTATGCGATATGAAGAAAGTCCAACAAGTCTGGGTAGAGAAAGTATTAAACTCCAATGAACTAATAGAGATAAGAAAAACAGGTCCAAACTCATTACTAATGAAGAAAACTAAACAAAATGCAATTGTCGAATCTAATGAAGACATCAAAGAAATAGATCTATCTTATTTATATCCAACTAATAATAAATATCAATTTAAGGAATGTAATATTTGTGAAGTTAAGATATCAAGAAAAAAATATAAAAAGCATATTGCGTCACATATGTTTTAAATGACCCCCAACTATCCCCCAAGACTCCATTGGGGTCCTTGTACCACTGGGGGTATATGGTGGGAAAATTAAGGGTTCACAAGTTAAAAGACGAATTAAACAAAAAAGAAGTGAATGTAGAAAGTTTGTGATTATTTGGAAAATCTCTATTTTAAATGATTACTTGTCTAAATGTGGTGTTTATACAATTTAACTGTTAGATTATGAATCTCAACCTGTTTGTAATATTGTAATATAGTCATAGATTTATAACCTAATGACAGGTATTATAGAGGACAAAATGGACACGAAAAAATATCTCCGGATGCTCTTTGTTGTAATTTACAATACTAAAATAGCTCTTAATTAGATGTCAAACATTAATCTTTATTGTCAACACCGGGAAAAAGGGGCAGCTGCCAATGCCCTTAGTTCCAGACTGTGGGTTGTCAAACAAAAAACACTTATATGTATTTTCATACCTGTCATTTTCATTTAAAATGCAGAGTTAATAATCTATTTTAATACAAGAATTTCGGCTCTGGAAAGCCACAGAGACATACAAATATAAGGCTGTGTATTCTATAATATTTTAGTACTAGGAAATATCTTCACTTTGGTCTAAATATTACTGGGTTTTACTAAATGGACTGGAAAATAAAACGTAATGTTTTAGTATTAGTTAAGAATAATTATGTCAAATATTATGATGAATTATGTTCCTCTGTATATAATTTAGTATTTTAAATGTATTTATTTTTTATTATTTCGATTTGTGCATTTAATAAAATGACTTTGCCGCCTAACATTTATTTGACCATACTAGTTAGGAGTTTCATATTATTGTTACTTTTATATAGTCAAATGCATAATTTTAATTTATTTTGTTTTATATCATGGAATATTAAATATATATTGACCTAGCATCGTTTTTTTTAAATATAAAATTACACCAAATAACTATTTTCGTTGAATATAACGACAAAGCATTTTTTAACAGACTCGTTATGAATGTTTCAAAATTTCTGCTTCATTTATGTTAATTTGAACAATTTATTTGTTAGAATTATTTAAATGATTTGGGGAATGAAAACGGCTCTTTGCATAAGAATTTTATTACTCGATTTTTTACACTTCTCTAAACTGGCATTAAGACTCTTACTTTTTGCTATTAAAAAGCCAAAACAAGAAACGTCAAAATTTTACATCTGTCAAACAGTCACAACTGTTTTTGTTTACATATTCACGATGATTTTAGAACAAATTTATTAATGAAAAAGTCTTAAATTATGACTTACACACTATGTCAAGTTTGCCTTAAAGGCAGGGATAATGTATTCCCTTTATCGGGGAAAGATATTGAAATATACAATCGTATTTTCAAAGAGGTATCGTATAAATTGTTTTAAGAATTATAGTATGTGTTTTATGTGTTTTAATATCTTTTATATGAAATAAATATAACAGCGTGTATATGTCTATTAAATTTTTTAGCTCTCAAATGAATCGCAAATGTTGATGTGTATATTTTGCACGAATTTATTGCGTAAGTTGGACAAATTTGCAGAACAATGTCGCAATGCACAAACAAAAATGAAAGAAAAATCAAAACAGGTATGTTTTAATTTGTACATAAATAACACTACATATTAATTAAAGAACTACATAAGGGAGAAGTGAGAGTCATTACCCAGACCTCATGGATGCTCTTTATAAGTGAGAAAAATGTAATATATAGAATTACTACAATAACTATATACTATATGCAATAAACAGTGGTAGAGCCCGCTTTAACATCTTCGCACGAATCGGCCAGGCTCGCCCGGTGAAATACCACGACCACACAGAAGACAAGCGTCAAGTGGAAGTAATTCCGCGTTTCGTCTGATGAGTGTGCGTCCCGGAGGCCTAATTTACTCCTCTTTCTCTTCCCACCCTTTTTCTCATAAGGTAAGGATGGGAAGTGGAAATGGACTTTCCGGATGAGAGGATGCATGGAAGGGGAAAATATTTTCATTCTGTGCATCCTCTCCTCCGTCGATTAAAGGTAGGCAACGCATATGCAATTGCGTTTGTCTATGGGTAACGGTCGTTTGCCACCTTATGATATTAAAAAAAAAATCTTATAAAGAAAAATAAGTAACATCTTTAAGGATACTTTTAAGTTATTCTTATAACAAAAATAAATTGATAACAGTTATTTACATTTCAGGATACATTTACAATACAGAACAACATAAACAACATATCTATATCACCAACAAAAACATACTATATAGGTCCTGATTGGATGCATTTAGATTGTAACATAAAAATGGAGGAATGTAACACAGTTTATGTAAACGATGATGTACCAATGTTGTTTTGTGAAAGCAGTATGGATGCAGAATTTGAAAATGGAACTCTAGATGATAGTAACAATGTAAATGTGAGTAACTTTTGTTACAATTGACCATTGGGGTTAGACAAAGTGTATTCGCTCCAAAGCGATTCCATAACGAAGTTCAAATATGGAACTGAGGTGCGACAATCACATGACTTTTTCAAAGTTATTGTTGATTCTATACATTTTTCAAATTCATTATGGAATCTCTTTGGAGTGAATACTCTTTGTCTAACCCCACTTTATACATGGACAGGCTAAAAGCTGTTGCATTTTGTGCTTATTTGATTTCCGCCATTCTAATTAGAACAAATGACATCTACAGACCCTTGGTTTGTACATTTTTTGCACAAATTCCTTTTGCTAAATCACAATTGTGAATTCCTTATTTTTATATAGCGGTGATTTTATAATGAAATATATAGAAACAAAATGTAAATAAGCTGCATAAACTTGTAAATCTAATCCTAATACAGATGTTAGAAGAATCAAACACTGAATTAGATATTGATAATGATCCTTCAAAATGTGGTAAAAATAAGAAGCAAAAGAAAGTGTTAAAAGAGGGATTCAGTTCGCGAATGGTTCAAGAAACCTCCGAGTATACTGTCATCAAATTGACTAAAGAACAGGTAAGGTTTAGATCAGTGGTTCCCAAACTTATTTTGTCTACTGCCAACTTTGAGAATAAATATTTTTTTAGCGCCCCCCATATTTTGACATATTTAAAAACCACTATAACTTCAAATTAAATTAATTAATTAATGTGACCTATATATGTATATTAACGGAGAATTTTAAACGAAACTTTTACTATAACCCGCAACTTAAGAGCTGCAGTGCCTACAAGGGGGCGTTATCGCCCACTTTGCAAAGACTGGTTTAGAGGTTCCCAAACTTACCTTAATTGTGGCAAGATTTCTTTTTTGAAGAAAAGCACAAAATAAAGTTAAAAATTATTTTATAGTGATCGTATATTTTTATAAAGTTGTATGTATGGTATACTATACAAAATTAATATAAGGGTTAAAGGCCGGCAACATATCTGCAGTTCCACTGGTGGATGTCCATGTATTATTGTGCTAGGATATGGTTTACGACAGTTGAAAAGCAGGATTCGAACCCACGACTTCGTGATCGAAAACCCGTACCCTTAACAATTAGGCAATTGGCGCTTTAAATTGAAGTAAAAAAGTTTTTTTTTTAGGTTTTAGATGAAATGAAGGAACGTTCAAAAAGCGAGAAATATCTACGTGCTCCATACAAATGTGAGAGTTGCGTGAAAGGTTTTAATTTTGAGGATGTATTACAAGGTCATATGGAGAAACATTCACAGGTGAGAGATAAACGCTTAATTATATATTTGTTACATTTTGTGCTGTGTTTAACTATACTTACTAATATTATAAATGCGAATGTTTAGATGGATAGATTGTCGAACGCTATGTCAATTAAGTTTACATTATTATATCAATAGATGGCGGAACATATTGTTTAGATCACGATATAGATTTATTTGGTATGTTTATCGACTTGCCGATCGCATTTAAATAAAGTTGACTCGCACCAAGATATAACCAGTGTTTCATTGTGAATACTCGATACTTCTCCAGTGAGAGTGAGACCTTTTTGAGACTGCTTTACATAGATGTTTGTTTGAAGGTATCATCAGAACGACTGAAATTTGGTATCGTTAAGTTTTTGCTATAGTGTATTTAAGGCATTGGTGTGGGGATATCTACGTACTGTAGTGGATGAATTCAGGCTGAATTGCTTGGGCCGCGCACGAGAGCGAAAGCGTGCCCGTGGTCCCGTCCCGATGCGTTGGAGGAACAGAGGGGTTTAGTGGGTATGCCTCCGCTATGGAGGAGAATCCCACATAACTACCGCGTCCCCCCCCCCGGGGCGCGGAGTATGCATAAAGCATTCCCCTCTGAAAAAAAAAGGATGAATTGCTTGCGACAGCTAGTAGTTTTATATTCTCTGAACTTATCTTACTCTTAACGTTTCAGAAACAAGGTCAGTACCGTTGTGAGCTTTGCACTCAATACTGTCCTAGTTCTGTCTCACTGCGAGGTCATATGAAGTCACATACAACAAGATATAGATGCAAGATATGTGGCTATATCCGTCTCTCTCGCCAGCATGTACTGGAACACCATACTATAGTGCATACACACGCAGCAGCCGCGTACAGCTGCGGCCGGTGTGTCTTCACCACCAAGTGAGTTTGTCCCTCTCGCACTTATAGACATACAGATACTTGCGTCTCTATCAGCAATACTAACTCGAGCATCATTCCATCGTGCTCACGCACGCAGCTGCCGCGTACAGTTGCTGCCGGTGTGTCTTCACCACCAAGTAAGTTTTTGTCCCTTTCGCACTGATAAACATATAGATACTTCCGTCTCGCTCAGGAGCAAGTACTGGAGCACCATAACGCACTCTACGGACGACTAAAGCTGCGGCCGGTGAGTCTTCACCACTAAGTAAGTTTTTGTCCCTCTCGCACTAAAGGCTTATAGATACTTCCGTCTCTCTTAGCAGTACGAACTCAAGGATCACACCATTATGCACCCCCACTGCACAGTACTGCGGCGGTGCTATCACTACCAAGTAAGTCATGTGTCCCTCTCGCACCAATAGTAATATATCTACATCTATCTCTCTCTGCAGCAAACGCTAGTCTCCTGTATGAGTCATCTCTCTCGCACACTGGAATACACCTCTATATCTGTCTCTTTTTACATTTACAAACTTTTTTTTCAGCAAACGTACCGTAATGCAGAGACACGTTCGCATACACAACAGCACGTCGACTCACGAATGTCATAAATGCGGCAAAATGTATAAAAGCTTAGAATCTCTACGTGTGCATACTATGTGAGTATATACATTTACTCATACATATACGCATTTAAAATATACAGATGTTTAAAATATGGTTAATTTTTTAACGTAGTTGAGCTTTAGTTATTCCTAAGAAGGAACAGCAGAACCCAAAACACGAATAAAATGTTTTAAAGAATCATACGAATCAATTCAAAATCGAATCAGTTCTGAATCGGTTCAAAAGTTCAGCTCACATAAACTTGAACCATTGAGTTGCGGTTCAACGACTTAATTGTAGCTCATAGCTCTATGCTAATGTACTATAACTATGAGTCAATGGGCCGCGAGCTGCTGACTCGATTCGCAGTTCAAAATTCAAATCATAACTCAAAGTACAAGTTAAATCTGTGAACCGATTCACTGTGCATTACTCATGTGAGCTGCAGGTCATTAATTTTAGTCAAGTTATATCTATAGCGGGGATCTAAGCCGATTCTTAAATGTCATGTTTATTTTGTTTAACACCAGGCGTCACGACAACAAAAAGAGGTTCCAATGCGACCAGTGTAACTTGAGCTTTGTGTATCCAACACAATTACACAAGCACGTTCAATCCGTACACATACGTAGGGATTACTATTGCGTTGAATGCGATATTAAATTCAAATCTATGGTAAGTATATCTATATCAATATATCACTTAATAAGTTAAAAAAAATGACAATTTAGTTTTTAATTAAAAGTTAAGAAATACTAAATTAGTAGAATACTATTAAATTCTAGTAAACTACCTATTGCATTAAATATTATTAAATTTGATACTCAATTTTTATTTAGTAAGATTTTATTAGGTAGCAAATTATAGCGGCCACCTGTATTCGCCAAAATAAGCGACTCAGACATCCGCGATAGCAGATGCGTTGCCTTACACGTCTCCCTTCTGATCCACTTTCCTTATAAGAAAAAGATGAAACATGACTCGAATAAGGGATCTTAATCAATGTTTTTGTTATTCAGGACACTTTGAAGTTACATTTCAAACGTGCGAAAAGACATCGAGATGGCGCTCATAAGTAAGTATAATAAGTGACCAAAGGGGCTTTCCCGTTGGACCGATCTACCCATTACATAGAATTAAACGGTCCAATGGGCCGTTAGTTCAAGATTACCGTTACCATGACAACCATCTTTAATTCTATTAGCTTAGAATTTTTTCTTGCATATATATTTTTTAAATTTATAAACCCCATATGTTTAATAGCGTGAAAATATATAGCCTATAGCGTGTCATAAGTATAGAGCTTTTTGTTAAAAAAATAATTATTCAAAAATATACAATGATTGCTGAGATTATGTGCTATAAAGAAGTGTATGTTTACGCTTTATTGTATTAGTACTAGCAGTCGCCCGCCATTCCCTCTATGCGAATTTAAACAATTAGTAGTCTATGTGTTCTTCCAGACTATGCTCTATATGTATGACAAATTTCATCAAAATCCATTCAGTCGTTCTGCAGATACCTTCAAACAAACATCCATCCATCTAAACATTCGCATTTATAATATTAGTAAGATTTATTCTACAGGAAAAATTTTGTTTTTAATTTTTTAATATAATACAATAATAAAATTTATTTGTATTATTTACAGCAACAAAAGTGAATCGAGAAGTTTGTCAAGTAACACGCGACCTCGTCGGAAACAAAACACATTAAATTCGTAATAAAAATCACCACCAGTTAACACTTTAAGTGCCGCTGACTCAAAAAAAATCTTAATGGCGGTGCAGAGCCGGCGTTAGATAATGGCGTTAAGTCGCCCAGGGTGATAACCAAAAGGGGCGCCCTAGGTCTGCGAATTACAGTCTCACGTAATCCCCCTCCGTAAAATGAAATAAAAAATTGGAGATAATTTCTTGTTTATCTTTTTTTATTAAAAATAAACTTTACAATAACAAAAGTGCACCATTTATAACCTATAACATATTTTAACATTAAATAAAGTAATTTTATAATAATTATTACAAAAGAGGTCAAGTTGCATAAACAGATTTAAGGTAAAGACATAAATATTTTTTAATTTTAATACTTTAGCACATAAGGAACCGTCCAGCTATATACTAAATCAATATAAGTAGTTAAAAAAAATGAAATGGAATGTAACACCCTTAAATTAAGAGCTTGGCTATTATAATAAATGTCGCTAAGCAACTAAATAATTTTATATATTTCCTATCTATATATTTACTATACTTGAACTTGGAAAAGTAAGAGTCCAAGGGACTGTGATATTATTCTCGCTTATAGAGGTTTCTCTCTAACTCGAGTTTCTTGCTTATAGAGGTTTCTCTCCAACCCAAGTTTCTCGCTTATAGAGGTTTCTCTCTAACCTGAGTTTCTCGCTTATAGAGGTTTCTCTCTAACCCGAGTTCCTCGCTTATAGAGTTTTCTCTCTAACTCGAGTTTCTCTCTTATAGAGTTTTCTCTCTAACTCAAGTTTCTCACTTATGGAGGTCTTCCGTTGGGAATGTCTCTCGGTTATAGAGATTTCTTGCTTATCCATGTTCAAATGTATATAATAATTCGTTTTTTAAATTTAACATGATAATACTACAGCTTTGTCGCTGTTCTAAATAGAGATATTTACTATATAAAAAAATGTCACTTATTATGGACAATGCTATGATATTGTTTGTTTGATTAACGCGATGAAACAAGTTTTAGTGTATTTGATGACTTAATATTTTGATATTTATAATTCTTTATTATTATTTGACATTAAAATGTTTAGAGGAGGCCTATGCCAAGGGGCACATTGAGATTAGGGACGTCTTATAAAATTTTTGAATACCTGTAACTATATAATATCAAATATTCTTAGAATAAAGGGCTATATTATTATTATTATTTGACCAAGAATATAATAAATCCTGGTCTAAGGCGATTTAATCGCTTATGTTATTACAGCAATTAGAACATAGATTAGAATCTATGGATAGAAATTAGGTATATATTACTCCGCAATACGGCAAAGTCTGTATATTCTTTGTCAAACTATACCTGTCACTTTGACAGCTCAACCATAGACAACCGTCAGTCTTGCCTCATACATTTCCTTTTTTCTAACACAATCATAGATTTTAATGCACTAGCTATAACATACCTTAGTTCATGGAACTTTGCAATAGATAATCTGTAAGTTTTCGTTTGTCCGTCTGTTAATTTCAATATTAATATGATATGTGTGTCACGTTGCGTTATTTCTTTACATCTTTCAGGATTTGCATTTTCTGCTTCTATGTTATTTTGACTGAAATTAAATTATGATTAATTAAAATAATAAATACTCAAAAAGGTTAAGCTTGACCAAGTCCTTGTTATGGTTGGACTGTTCAGTGAAAACAATGTATTAAGATTTTCTTGTTTTTGTTCTTACTATGGAGCCCCGGTGGCTTAGGGGTGTTATTTGATATGTAACCTGCAGGTTTTGGGTTCGAATTCTACCATGTGCCAATGTGTTTGTAAATTAACATATGTACATTTATACGAAGTTACGGTGAGGGAAAACATTGTGATGCTGCACATATCTGTAACGAAATTCTAAGATATGTGTGAAGTCAACCCGCACTGGGCTAGCATTGACTATTACTTAGTCACTAACTTAGGGTAGGCGGGACATATAATGAGCTGATGATGATTACCATAAAGACAAATCAATTTTCCACTGTATGCTAACCAGTCCAGGTTTCATTCGTAAATGCCTTGGTATATTGTCATATATTTTGTCTGTGCATAATAATGTTGTTAATTCTTCAGCACATTCCGGACTGAATCTGGAAGATAATGAAAAAAATTACACAACTTTGCATGAATTAAAAAATAATTAGTAGTCTAGGTGTTCTTGCAAACTATGTTCTACATCTATGCCAAATATCCATCCATCCAAACATTCATAATATTAAGCATTTATAATATAAGTAAGATAGTCACACCTACTTTAAATTTTCTAGAAAATTTCTAACATCCGTAGCACACCATGGCTCCTTAGTAGCTGATCTGGACCGTGCTACATGTCTCACGACTTCCCTCACCGCAGAATACTTGTTGGAATTCGTTAAACTGGAAGTACGACTGTCTGGATTACCTTCCAATTCTTTTAGGCTTACTGCAAATTAAAACTCTTCATGTAAAACCAAGTTAAGAAATGAGGTTGAATGATACGCTACAAAGATAAAGGAAAGCCCCAAGAAAGTATGGATGGCTTGTGAGAACGAAATATACTGCTTTAGTTATATTGAGCCGATAACAAGTTAAATAACTTATATCAGTGATTTTTAAAAGAATATGTTTACGAACGAACATACGTACGAACAACAAAGGGTTTTATTTCCTTCTTTTGAATTTCGGGGATAACATATGAAGCGGATGTCCATTGACCAGGACTTTCAGTTAATAATTCAAATTGCTGTGACATTTTAAAGCTTCAGACTTCAGTAAAAATAAATAAATAAATAAAATTTTTAACAAAATTAGTGTAATGTCAAACTCAAATGTCATTGTCATTTGTTATTGCCATTTCATCATAAAAGTTGATGTATTTTTTTAACCTAATTGAAAAAATCTATTTGCAAACTCATTATAGATAATTTTATCAGGCTATGCAACAATTTCTACATTTTTTGCATAATTAGGTAATTTATAACGAATCCCGAAGAGTATTTTAGTATTTGTATCTGTCAAATAAATTTGGCAACGCTGCAAAACGCATTTTACTCTATGTGTAATGGCCGACTGTTTCGTTTTGTGACGCTTGAATTTTTCTTTAAAGTTTCAAGAAACTTCACATACCTATAAACCAAAACCTTTAGTTACTTTCAAGCTGTGTTCATCTTTATTTCTTTAAGATACATAATAGTAACATTTAATTTGAAATGGCAGCTGTGCAAGGTCCACCGGGGAAACAGTGGCCGGTGCGTCCTGGCGTGCAACATCAGAATAGTCATAACAGTGGAAATTTAACACTAAATAGAACAATAAACTTATATCCTCTAACTAATTATACATTCGGAACCAAAGAGCCATTGTTTGAGAAGGATGCATCGGTACCAGCAAGGTTTCAGAGGATGAGGGAAGAATTTGTCAAAATCGGTATGCGGAGGTTAGTTTACGGTTTTTTACCTGTATTATCCTTAAAAACAAGATACATAAATTGCAGACTCTTTTGCATCTTCTAAATTGTTATCTTTATTTCATTATTCATAGTCTAAATGTGCAATTTTATAACAAAACATAAATATGACGAAAAAATTGAATACCAAATACATTAGCTCACTAAACGTCCCAATGAGGGGTTCAGAGCCCAGCTTAAGTTAGGGGTAAGGGGCAGATTAGTCATTATAAGCCTGAATTTTGGTGCAGACACCATAGCAATTGCATGAGTGTTAGCCATTTATTTTTAGTTTAATGAATTAGAACAAGAAAAGAGTGTAATTATCAACCTAGCTCTTGTCCCTCGGAGGGTCACCATAGAAGCTACTACTCCTACTATGGTTAATGGTATCTGATATGAAAATGCTCAAGGTACATTATGATTAATTTCAGATCTGTAGAAGGTGTGCTACTGGTTCATGAACATGGATTACCTCATGTCTTGTTGTTGCAGCTGGGTACAGCATTCTTTAAACTGCCTGGTGGTGAACTGAACCCTGGAGAGGTATGTATATTATTACATAGTTAATTTCAATGGATATGAGATATATCAAATCTTATAAAAAACAGACATGTTTGTATCATCAATTTAAATATTGTTCCAAAATAAATCCATAGACAATAAATTATATTTTCAGCCTGTGATATGTGTAAAAATAATTTCTCGTTTACATTGAATTCAACCATAGTATATCAAATAATGGTAGTGACAAATGTGTTAAATAAAACTTACTAATATTAAAAAATATTTGGATGGATGTTAGAAGGTATCTGTAAAAAACTGCATGGATCTCACTGAAATTTGGCATAGATGTAGAACATAGTCTCCTTCCCTGACCTTATCTCACTAATGGGGTTGGCACATAAGATTTTATAGACCTTGAGGTTTAGGCTTATTCCTCTACAGCTGGCCGCCTGCCTTACACCATCCCTACTTGGGAAGATGTAGAAAATAGTCTAAGAAAACATATTCCAATTTTTTTTTTCTGTGGGAATGGAATCATTGACAGCATTCATATGTTCTTATTTACACATACTTTTAGTGTGTTACTTTTGTGCGAATGATGTGCTTTCGTTACAAAGTCAAGTCTGAATAATTAGTGAGGGGACATAAACATCATTTTAGTAAAGTTAGTGTTGTGCCAGTATATCGGCACACATGGATTTTCTTCCTAACAATAATCAGTACATTTATTTTACTTTCAGGATGAAATTGAAGGTCTCAAACGTTTATTAACGGAGACATTGGGAAGACAAGATGGTGTTAAACAAGAGTGGGTAATAGAAGATACAATAGGTAAGAATTTTAATAAAATAGTTTATTCTCATCTCTTTCATTCTTATAGAGATAAACAAAGATAACAATATGTATTAGAAGTATTTTGTGCATCATCATCAACCTGCCCTTATCCCTATCGAGGGTCAGCACAGTATGTACTCCTCCATACATCTCTATCAGCCGACATATTCGAGTCTACCCCCTTCTTACGCATATCCTCTTTCACACAGTCATTCCATACTTTTTTTGGTCTTCCCCTACCCTTGTAGCCATCCACATTCAATCTCATTACTTTACTCATAATTTTGTTCAATGGTTCATTTATGCTTTAAGTATACTAGTTGTCTTGCACAAGGAATTAAAAAACATTGTAAATAGCCTATACGCTATTCCAAACTATATCTGGTAATTTTTATCCAGATCCGTTGAGCCGTTTTGGAGTTGTTTAACTAAACTAACAAACATCCTTTAAAACATTAGCTTTTATTTAATATACTAGCTTTTGCCCGCGATGTTGTCTGCACTGAAGAAAGAAAGGGTAAAAAGTGTCATGTGTCAAGACTAGACTATTCTATGCCTGTGCTTAATTTCAATATGATGTGCCGTAAACCAGACACATTTCTTTAGCACAAGTAGCCTATATGTATCAAGATTGTGTTCCATGTTTATACCTCATCATCATCAGCTCACTATACATCTCCCCTGACGGTCTCGGAGTTTACCCTAAGTGAGACTATGTGATAGTGAATGCTGGCCCAGTGCGGGTTAACTTTGAATTTCTTAGATTCTTCACATATGTTGATAAATATACATATGTAAATGTTAGAGACACATTGATACTTTTATATATTAGTTAGAATCATTTGGTGCGAATGGCGCGCTTTCGTTACCAAGTCAAGTTTTTTTATATACCACAAGGTGGCAAATGAGCGTTCGACCACTTGAAATCGCTGAAATAGCGAAATGACCGTTGCCCATAGACATACGCATATGTGTTGCCAACCTTTAATCGACGGTGGAGAGGATGCACAGAAAGATAATATTTACCCTTCCCATGAATTCTCTCATCCGGAAAGTCCACTTACACTTCCCATCCTTTCTTTAAAGAAAAAGGGTAGGTAGGGAAAGAGGACTAAATTAGGCCTCCGGGACGCACACTCAAGTGTCAGATTGATAAGTAAGGGGACATAAACGTCGACATTTTAATAAGGCTAGTGATGCGTCACACCGGATTTTCTTCCTAACAGTTCATGGCGGGATTTAAACCCAGGATCTGCAGTTAAAAAGTCAAGTGTTTAACCACTGAGCAACTGGCGCTTTTATCGCCGATATTTATACCAACTTGAATAATTCTGTTTCAGGTAATTGGTGGAGACCAAATTTTGAACCGCCTCAATATCCATACATTCCACCTCATATTACAAAACCTAAAGAGCATAAGAGATTATTTCTGGTACAATTACAAGATCGTGCATTATTTGCTGTACCAAAGAATTATAAATTGGTTGCGGCTCCGTTATTTGAGTTGTACGATAATGCACAAGGGTACGGACCGATAATATCATCATTATCACAAAGTCTTTGCAGGTTTAATTTTGTTTATATGTAGTGTTTTTTATTTGGAACGGATCACAGATATAGCAGGGCCATTTTTATATGTCATATTTGATGTTTCTAGCTATCAACAACCCCGTCTGCTCGGAATTAAAAAAATTTGTAGTCTATGTGTTCTTCCAGACTATGTTCCACATCTATGGCAAATTTCATCCAAATCCATACGGCCATTCGTGAGATATTTTCTGACATCAAAACATTTGCATTTGTTATATTAGTAAGATTTAATTTCATGTCTTTACAATATTGTTTTAGTGAATTCTTTTTCTTTTTAAACTTTATAGCTTTAAAAAAACAATTGAATTCGATTTAAGATGTTTAAAATTCGAATCGATTTTTCCATTTTAATCGATGTTTTTAAGCTCAACTAACTATGAAGCTAAGCTAAATGTCAATGACCTATTAAAATGGCTCTGCTGTAAACTGCTGTTATTTAAAAGAAATAGAAAGAAAAAATATTGTATACAAATAAATATATGAACACATTTTGATGGCCCCTACGGAGAGTGTAGTTAGTCATAATTTTGTGATTTACTTTATGGTCTGAGTACTTTAAAACTGGACTGTATGTATACATTTGCGTTGGCGATAATAAAATACTAATATTCAAAACTTAAATTTTCTATATGAATGTCCAAAAGGTTATGTTGGTTGCATGTCATGTCCGGAACGTGTGGACAGATTTTGATTTGACTTTGTCTGGAAGATATTTGATGTATGCTAGCATGTTATATGCTATTTTAATTAATTCCTGATGAAGTTGTAGATGTTGAATTCTTTATAAATTGTAGTATTAAAAATAATATTTTTTCTAAACTAGTGGTCCGTCTCACATAACCTCAAAATATTATTAAGTGACGTATTTTTTTATATTAATAAAAAACAGTTTGTCGTCTAGTGTTTAAGTATTTGACTAAAGTATAGCAATAATATAAATAAAATGTGTTTTATTTATTGTTACCTCAAGAAAGAAGATTGTTTTTTTAATTTTAAGGTTGGTTAAGTATTTAATAATCTGTGATATTATCTGTGATGAAATTAACCATAGACTGATTATTTTTTTAGCAGAAAAAAACAAAACATGTTTGATCGGATTATACAATTTTTGTCTATACATGTTTCTATGTCATATTAGTATGTGAAGATTTAATGTAATATATAAAAATGTACATAAGAAATATCCATAAAGGTTCAAATACACAAATTGTAATGGCGAAATACGATACTAATTAAGAGTCAGTTTATTAAGTAATTTAAAAATGTTTATTAAGAAAAAGAAATGTTGAATTATTTATTAAAAAATTACTCCATACTTTATTCTACACTACTAATGCTATCTGTTAGTATAAAAATGTATTTGGTAAAATATTTTAACCAATGAAAATGTTGATATATAAGCACGGCTAAACACCGACTAGTTTCGAGCCCATCGGTGGCCCTTCATCAGGATCCCTCAAGACGCGCCCTAAGAGCGCAGGCGCGCAGTGAGCTGGAGGCCGCGTCCGCGAAATAATACCAGTACCACTCATCCTGATGAAGGGCCCCCGATGGGCTCGAAACTAGTCGGTACCGCCACCGGACGTATATACGTGAGTGTTTATATATCAATTTAGTATAATGTCTCACGAAAGTTTGAATAATTCGATGAAAATGTATTTGAATAAAAATGGAATGTCTATTGATTACTTTTTAATGTTTTACAGCAGCTGTTAAATTTGCATCCAAATTGTAAGTGACGTTTTCGATACGTAAATTGGAATAAATTTGTACCCCTTTTTTTTAGTAGTTTCTTGAAATAATAAACTTTTTTGACAGTTATGTAGAGAAGTGCATAAGGCTATTTCTAGTTGACTTTAAAAACAAGGTTATAAATTCGACTATATTTTTTATATGTTACGACGTCACTCTGTCCCAGTTCTCATATTTTGATTTTTTTAAACGAAAGCTAGTGCTGGCAGGTTGGTACCATTTTTTATTAATTTTAAAATTCATTAGTTTTAGACGGTATTGGTAATCATTTGACGCGATTGACGTGCTTTCGTTATAATGTTCACTGTCAGAATGAATAGTGAAGGGAGATAAACGTCGATATTTTAATAAGGCTAGTGTTGCGTCAATACACTGGTACATTTTCGGATTTTCTTCCTAACACTACATTTCTTTAATTTTGCTTAACCTAGTATGAATGACTATACAATAGTATCAAGATTATTGAATATATAAATCTTCGATTAACTATATAGAATTCGTTTCCATTTCAACGATATCGATTTTCATGAATTTAATTATAATTTTACGACCAAAATAATAACGATTTTGAGTTACTTATCGAAATGCGTTCGTTATTTATAGTGCTGTTTTGTGCGGGTTACGTCACTTGCCGACTTTGGAGGAAGGGAGTCGTCCATTACGCGATAAATAAAAAAGATTATGGTATAAAAATTATTTTATTAAAACTACAATAACTATATTTATACTAATGATACTGACGCAAGTAACACACCTCTGCCGTGAAATACAAAAAGCTGTAACGCTGGATTAATTCCTCTGAGATCAAGTGTATATTGCAAAATTATTTCTATAAAATCGATGTCAATTGTATAAGAAAATATAGTTCCGATTTCGTTTTTGCCGTCTGCCACAAACGTAGGGAAAATATAGCGCGAAAAATATTATCGGCGGGAGCACGTTGGAGATCGATGTTACAGCGCAAAGTAAGAGATAGCAATATAAACAAATCTATACGTTAGAATAGTATCGCTAATGTTCCGCGGGTCCGCTGTTAAGGTTAGTTTAGACATAATCCGGAATCATACAACGCTCTAATTCAAGAGCGAGACAAACGTATGATGATACAATAGGTTTGTCCCGCTCTAAAGCGATTGCGGAGCGTTCGTACGATTCCAGATTATGTCTAAATGAATCATGGTTCCCCAGTGGAGGTGGGCAACCGGGGTAAAGAAATGTGGTAAGTGGGTTTGTATTATTAGGGAGGAAATCAACACTAGCCTTACTAAAATGTCGACGTTTATGTCCCCTCACTAATCAATCTGACATTTGCCTTTGTAACGGAAGCTCGCCATTCGCGCTAAAGGATTCTTACTAATAACGTCTAAAAGTATGAACATCAATTGTAACCTTCTGTATATAGAGAAATAAAAAAAAATCGAGGAGTGGGGTGTCATTCGATTCGTTTTCTTCCCCTGACTGTCATAGTTTTTATTAATTAACAATAAATGTATTTCTTTCTCTAGATATACATTCTCAAGATGAAATTATCACGACATTATCGCAGTTGCAGAACGAAATCTGCGTCAAATTCTTCTACACACCTAACAATTATACAGCAGATGAGAGAGACAAGATACTTTTTATAAATAACCCGGATAAAAGGAAGAATTGTCCGCCAAGTATTTACAATTTTACTGGTAGTGTTATAGTAAGTTAGGATTAATATTAAAATCTTACTAATATAAATGCGTAAGTAGATACAGTAAAGGATGTATGTAAGAAGGTATCTCCATAATGGCTGCATGGAACGGAATGACACAGATGTAGAACATAGTCTCGAAGAATACGTAGGTTACTTATTAAGTTATTTTTTAATTTCACACGGATGGAGTTATGGTCTACATTCAAAATTTTAAAATGCGAATAACATTTTGATGCACATATGTAAATAAAAGTTTAGGACGCAGTTTCATTGGTTATTAGGACACGAGTGTGGCATGCATAAAATTTACTCCTCGCGCATAACGCTCGTAGTTGGGAAACGTTCTCATTGGGCGATAGTTCTTAGTTTTCCTTACCACGCGTTATATTAGACAACTGAGTTCACGCAACACGCTTGATTTAAACTAACAGATTGCTTTTCATCTATATATATAAAAATCAATTTCTGTTCGTAAGTCTCGTCTAGCTGAACTGATTTATCTTGGACTTGAAATGTAGGTGGATGTCTAGGTAGGAAGGTTTAAAAGGTGAGAAAAGTTCGGATAATTGCCGGGAACTAATTAATTTTTTTCCATACCACGCAGACCGAGTCGCAGGCGACAACTAGTGACATGTTTTTCTCATAGCAGAAGAAGAATTAACTATATATACTCGTCTCACTAAGAAGAGGCCTAGTCTTAAAGCAGTCTCTATTATAAAGTTGCGTGATATTTTATACTAGCGGTCGTCCGCACAGAATTTAAAAAATAACAAACTATGTGTTCTTCCAGACTATGTTCTACATCTATGCGAAATTTCAGCGAGATCTATGCAACCGTTCTGGAGATACCTTCTAACAAACATTCGCATTTAAAATATTACTAAGACGGTACTCATTCCTAGCTATATTTATTTTTCAGGATATGCCTATAGGTTATAAATGTATAAACAGAAAGGATATAGCCAGAATCGTTATGGAAATGCTAAGAGCGAGCGTCGAACAAACAGGTTTGATATTTTTGTTAAATAATGAAAAAAAAAGTAACAAAATGTTTTATTTTATTTTTTATTCCAGTTTCAACAATTAACAGTTACGATTTGGTAAAGAAATTCCAAGAACGTGTAAGTATAAAATGTTACATTTACGATTTCTAACACAATAATGTCGGTTAATGCTCTTTAAGCAATTTGTAGAGAACTTTGTAGGTTATGTCATCCAGACTATCTTTATATATATAATTCCTCTGTGAGTGTGCATGTCACTGAACTTCTCTCAAACGACTGGACCGATTTTGATGAAATTTTTTGTGTGTGTTCAAGGGGATCTGGGAATGGTTTAGATTCACAATTTTCATCAATTATTAACTTCATATTAATTTATTCAAATTAAAGACGTGTAGACGTCAACGTCTGTCGGGTCCGCTAGTGTTCTATAATATATTTATGCTAAACTTCATCAAGATACGTTGAACCGTTGCCTAGTTACCTTTAAACATCTAAACATTCTCATTTATAATATTAGTAATTCTAAACGGTTTTAATTACAATCATTTGGCGCGAATGTCGCGCTTTCGTTAAGTCAAGTGTCAGAATGATTAGTGAGGGGACATAAATGTTGACACTTTAGTAAGGCCTTTCTTGTCATGTCATTTCTGTTGGCCTCAGTGTCGGATTTTCTTCCTAACAGTAAGATGTATTTAATTCTATGGGTTCCAGACCCATATTTATCCTTCCAATCTAAAAGATGGATTTTCACTAAAGATCTTGTAGTTCTAAATAAATTCCAGCTTGATACCTTCAAGCGTTTTTGAGAAAAAGGATCTTGACAGCCAGACGGACGGACAACAAAGTGAACCTATAAGGGTTCCGTTTTTTTCCTATGAGGTACGGAACCCTAAAAAAGTTATAGTATTTTAAAACATAACAAAAATGTTATTCTTTGCCATAGATTAAAAAAATCATTTTAAATTCCCAAGGATGCGGATCCGACACATCCAACACTCCTCTCGCCGCCAGATAGGAACTATATAAACGCACATTACCACGTCGAGTGCGGGGCTCAAGCGCAACGCTCAGTCGCGTCAAGACGACTTGGGGATACTTCCGACCCTTTACAACTCACTGCTGATAATATGGCGTATTATAAAGATAAAATATGGCCATTGGGTATAGTTATGTACGGTGTTGATGAGAAATTACGTAAGTTACATAAATAGTTATTTTTAAAAACGACCCTCTTAGTATGTAAATTTATATCATCAGCTTCGAGTTCCCTCTGAGTGTCTCGCAGTCTACCCTAAGTGAGAGTATGTGATAGTGAATGCTGGTCCAGTGCAAGACTTCACACATTTGACTTTCTCAGATATGTGCAGCATCACGATGTTTTCCTTCACCGTAACAACATACGATAAATGTACATATATAATTAAAATTTATATCACTACCTAATTAATACATGAAAAGAGTAACTAATCTTTTCGTTTACTTGATTCTCGGATGACGAAAAAAAACAAATTAGGATATTCTTTGACACTTAGCAATGTGACTATGACGTCATGTTCTCACGTAGAAAATGCTTTTAGGCACAAAATCAGATTATAGTCTTCTTAAATACGCAATGACGACTATCGAACTGGGCAGTTGTGTTGTATTTCAAGAGATTGACACTAACGATGGAGTTTTAACACCTAAGAATTTTCTCTGGTATAGTAATGATGGGGAGGATGTCCCACTACTTGGGTTTAGAGAAGGAAAACAGGTAAATTCTTCAAATCAAAGACAATATTTAACAGTGGTAGAGCCCGCTTTAACATCTTCGCACGAATTGTCCCGGCTCGCCCGGTGAAATACCACGACCACACAGAAGACACGCCTCAAGTGGAAGCAATTCCGCGTTTCGCCTGATGAGTGTGCGTCCCGGAGGCCTAATTTAGTGCTCTTTCTCTTCCCACCGTTTTTCTTATAAGGAAACGATGTGGAAGTGGACTTTCCGGATGAGAGGATATATGAAAACTCTCCTCTGTCGATTAAAGGTAGGCAACGCATATGCAATTGCGTATGTCTATGGGCAACGGTCACTTCGCTATTTCAGCGATTTCAAGTGACCGCTCGCTCGTTTGCCACCTTATGATATAAAAAAAAATCAATTTATACCTTTCTTCCTACGGATAATAATTATAAGGGTTCCGTACCTCGAAAGGAAAAAACGGAACCCTTATAGGATCACTTTGTTGTCCGTCCGTCTGTCTGTCAAGACCCTTTTTTTTATTGGAATCATGTATTAAGACATCATGAAAAATAAAACATCCTTGGTGATTATATGAGAATTCTAGACACTACGATAATTGACCCGGACACAGAGTATAAATTTTATACTCTATGGCACTTTCCCTTGTCATAGACTATAAATTTACTAGTCTATGGTACTTCTCCTGATTACAGAGTATAAATCTAGAAACTATGGTGCACGGAGCTCCGGGCCATGCAGCTCACGTGTTGGTTAACCTTATGAGGGCTTTAGGGGTTCCTATGATGTCAAATAGGTTTGATAGAGATAATTACGTCACTATAGATTGGAGGAAAATACAAAAAGGTTTGTTTTTTATCACTAACTGAGGGACGTAACGACTCGAAGTGGGCTTTGGCCTCAGTAAGTTTCCAGCTTTTCTCCAAACCGCGACATCATGATGATTTTTATTGGTTTTTAGATAGGTAATTGGATAGTTTATAAAAAAAGAAGCTGGCGAACACAAAACCCTGTTATAAATTTTTTATAACGAAATCTTTGTATGAAACGGGCGTGTTATACCAGAATTAGGTTTTGTTTTAGCTTAAAAACGAACTTTCGTAACAACGCTTTGTGTTCCCAAATAAATAAAAAACAAAACAAAAAGATACTAAAAATGTCCATAGTAATCTTGTTTCTTACTAATATTATAAATGTCGAATATCTAGATGGATGTTTGTTTGAATGTATCTCCAGAACGGCTCAACGGATCTAAATGAAATTTGGTTTAATATAGAGCATAGAATTGTGTTTTTTTAATTCCGCGCGAAAGAAGTCGTGGGCGACAGCTAGTCTATTAATAATATAAATATTAAACACAAATCATAGGTAAAGAACACCATTTTGAGCGCGCCCCCGTATCAGCGTGGATCGCGACTCCTTACGACTTTGAGAGCGTGACACACGCGCCTGCCAACTACATGTGCGGTGACTGTGATCTCGGCGGCCAAAGTGTTAAGCCACTACAGGTATACTTCGTACCAAATATCTCGGCAGCTCAGACTTTTTGCGCTGCGCTGTCTACCCAACGCAATTTACGCCTCAATGCATTAATATGCACTTAGAGGATTTTGAAGCGTCAATAGGTTAAGGATACGGTTTTCCGATCACGAGGTCGTGGGTTCAAATCCCGCAATTCGATTATTGTAAACCATGTCCTAGCACAAGCATAAAGTTTAGTTGAAATGGTACAAGAAATATTAGGAAATTAACAAAAAAATTGCTAATATTTTGTTTTAAAAAGAATTACTTTCACCTACCAAAGGGGTTTTAGACAGTCACATCTCATATGACCCTTTATTTCCCCTAAAAAACAGGGTACTTTTCGAAGATTCACCTCAATGTTAATAAGTTGTAAAGGACGTAAATTTATTACAGGGCCGGTTTTAGTATTTGCTGCGCCCCTTTTTTTGATGACAGGGGACAATCTTCCAGAAATAGGGTACCATACGGGCTCCATAGGCGCCATGGGCGATCGCCCCACCTCACCCTACCCTTATATTACTGGTTTTATGTTATTTCTTTCCTTATTTAGTTATTACTGTAAATGTCAATTATTTGCAGGATCATCTCTGGCAAAGGACATTGTCTATGGGCCACGCAAACCAAATGTCAAACTCTGACAGCAAACTTCTAGATTTACTGTACAGAGACCAATGCAGAGAGAGAATGGTGTCAGATAATTTTGAGGTTATGAAGAAGACAGCTGACAGTTAATACTTCGGTAAATTCATTGGCAAATTAAATATTAATAGTTTTGTTTTTTTATACCCTCCCCCCAATATTAGTTACAAAACTACATGAGAAAAAAACTTAATTAGTAGCCTATGTGTACTTCCAGACTGTTGTACATCTATGTATCAAATATCAGTAAGATTCATGCAGCCGTTCTAGAGCTAACTAACAAACATCCATCTAAACATTCGCATTTATAATATTCATCAACATCAGCTCACTATACGTCCCCACTGAGGGGCTCGGCGCCTACCTTAAGTTAAGGGTGATTAGGCCATAGTCAACCACGCCGGCCAAGTGCGGTTTGGTTGACTTCACACTTATCTTCGACTTTCTCAGATATGTGCAGCATCACGATGTTTTCCTTCACCGTAACATAAGATAAATGTAACACATTGGTACATGGCGGGATTCGAACCCAGGACCTGCAGATTACTAGTCAAGTGCTTGACTCCTGAGCCACCGACTCTCATATTGTTCCAAAAAATTAAAACGTAAAATAAACAAGACATATTAAATACAATTTTTTATTATTACACATACATCGCTAGATATTTATTTACAAAAAATAAAATAAAAAAAAAGAAACATAACTAGTAGCAAAAACAGTCCGATAATATTAGTTATTTTTAATAAAAAATCACATCCTTAAAACTAAGTAAAAAAAACACTTATAAATATGATATTAAACATAATAAATCAAGTTGCAAAAAAACTTCTAAAAAACATAATAACTAAAATTTTTTTTAATACAAGTTCATCATCAGCTCACTATACTCCACTGAGGCTAGAGTCTACCCTCAGTGAGAGTATGTGATAGTGAATGCTGGTTCAGTGCAAGACTTCACACTTTGACATTCTCAGATATGTGCAACATCACGATGTTTTCCTTCATCGTAACATAAGATAAATGTACATATGTAATAACACATTGTTATATGACGGGATTCGAACCCAGGACCTGCAGATTGCAAGTCAAGTGCTTGACCCCTGAACCACCGACGCTCTATTCAATTATTTCTTACTAAAAATGACAAAAAAATCACGGTTTCTTTCCTTTAAATAATTAATATAATTTCATTTTGTAACTCCAGAACTCCACTGTCGTAATATTAGTTATGTAGTCGTTCCTTATATATAGTGAAAACCCACACCAAAAGTTATTTACCTTTTGATTTAACACTTTTAGGGACTACATAGGCATAAATATAACAAATTTATTGAAGTTCTATGCATTTCTAAGGGTCAGCTCACACTGATAGAAGCAGAAAACAGATTTTTATCGCAAATAAAATTGAGCCTTAAATACGATTGAAATAAGGTTCTATTTCACTCTGCTAGTCTTAATAAAAGCAAAAATAAAAAATTTGTGAAAAGAAAATTATTATTATTTTTTTGTAAATTTTAACTGTTATTTTTTTCAATACTCTTTGTATAAGCATAATTATATAAAAAACATTTAGATGTATGTTTTTTTTTGTTGAAATCCGTATAATTCTGTTATACTTTATGTCGAGGTCTTTTGATCCACATTAATAAAAATGCATAGAATTTAAATCATAAAATCTGAATGACCGAGCTCCGTATTTCTTTTTAAATTGTGTTTTTATGGAGATTATATTTAAGTACGAATTATTAATAAAACGATGAAATATGAATATTATTTTTCGATGTTACCGATAGAAAAAGTTAAGTTTATGTTTAAGTTGATTATCGATAAAACACGAATAAAATGACATTTTCTAAAAATGATTCCTAGCTAGATCGATTTATCGCCCCCGAAACCGCCTATATACTAAATTTTATGAAAATCGTTGGAGCCGATTCCGATATTCCAATTATATATATACAAGAATTGCTCATTTAAAGATATAAGATTATATTTATGTTTGGGAAGTTTTTTTTTTGTAATAAGTACGATTTTTTTTATGTTGATTCTATCTGTTTTTCTTCCTTTTTAATGCAATAATTACATAAATCTGCATCGAAAATTGATGAGCATTTTAAACAATATTTAATATCGTTAGTACTCGGAACTAATATAGAATTTTTCATATCTAAATTGCAATCGACACATATTTTTTTATTTTTCACATCACAATTTTTTATATTTTTTGTTTTTTTACATTTTTTATAATAAGAATTTAATTCGTCTATTGAAGTTTCGGTTTTTATATCGTTTTTTATATCATTTTTTATAGTTTCCGTGTTTTTTATCGTTTCGTCATCGGAATTTATAATTTCGAATACAGTTATGTACTCTTCATTATCATCTGTATTTACTTCGTCTTTAATATTTGGTAAATAATTCGATGAATCATTATCGATTTCATTATTGGCAATTTTTAAAGATTTTTTCAATTTTTTTTTTTCATTTTTGTTTATTTTATCTTTTTTAGTTTTTTTCTCACGTGATATCTGTACTTTAGTATTTTTAATACGTTCCAATGATTTTATATCGTTTGATAATTTTTTAACATCGATAATTTTTAATTTGGAATTATTCTTTTGTAATTTTTTCGATTTTTTCGTATAAAAAACTCTATTTTTATATATTTTTTCATTTTTTAAATTTGTATTTTTTTCATTTTTTTCTTCAATATCTTTTATTGGTATTTTTATATTTTCTAGATGTTTCAAAATGTCCGTATCGAATAAAGATATGTCTAGATATGTCGAATCTTCAGTGAATACTTCGACTTTTGATTCTATCGAATCACCTTTTTCTATGTTAATTTCTTTTGATGAATCTTTTCTTTTACTTTTCATTGTATTTAGTAAATTTTCTAATTTGTTACGTTTATTTGTGAATTTAATATCAGATTTTTTAGTATTTATTACATTGCTTTCTAATGGATTTGTTTTTATCTCATTATGACATTCTTCTATAGTAATCTTCTGTGGTGTTCTTTTTCTTGCTTGTTTCCTTCTGTACTCCGGAGCAAGGTCTGGCATTGATGCTAAAGTATTTGTTCTTATTACTATTGGTCCTGGAAATTAAGTTATTTTTTAATATCTTACTAATATTATAAATGTGAATGTTTAGATGTATGTTAAAAGATATCTCCGGAACGACTAAATGGATTTTGATGAAATTTGTCATACATATAGAACATAGTCTGGAAGAACACATAGACTAATTTAAAAAGGAATTTTATTCCTTTACAGTCATACCTTCCATATGTTCATCATCAGGAGGATCTTCCCACCAGACAGGACTGGGGCAGGTTAATATCTCCATGAAGTCCTCATCATCCAGATCCTGGTCAGCCATCCGTATCACTTCATGAATATCAAGCTCTGAATAATCCGGACTTGATATGTCTTCATTTGAATCTGATGATTTATGACTTTTCTTTCTTTTTTTATTTGGAGATTTTATATCTGAAAATATAAAAAGAACATAAAAATATTGTACACAAACATACAAAGTTATAGTACTAAAATACATATACTAGCTGTTGTCCGCGACGCTGCTCGCACTGAAGTAAAAAAAACTTTTATAAGTAGCCTATGTGTTCTTCCAGACTTTGTTCTATGTGTATGACAAATTTCATCCTGATGTGTTCAGCCATTCTGGACATTCTAACAGACATCTATACATTCGCATTTATAATATTAGTAAGAAGTAAGATGTCACCCGTGGTAAGTGTAGCTTCCAAAGAGTGATAGAATTTTTCAAATCAGTTCAGTAGTTTCTGAGCCTATTCAATACAAACAAACAAACAAATCTTTCCTCTTTATAGTAATAGTATAGAGGATGTAAAGTCTACTCCAATGCCTTTTAATAGACAACGGCCCTCCTCCAGTAATACATTTTTACTAATACACGATACAGTTAATGCGGGATTAAAAAAATAGCCTATATGTTCTTCCAGACTATGTTCTACATCTATGTTAAATTTCATCAAGATCCATGCAGCCGTTATAGAGATAACTTCAAACAAACATCCATACATCCATCTAAATATTCACATTATAATATTAGTAAGAATTAAAAGATGTTTTTCATGTGTATTTATATAATAAGTTTGTATGTATATTTCCTTTAACCCAAACAACTAAACATATGATAAATACATTTATATATTCTTCCTCTCATTTATATATTCATCCTCCTTGGTTACTGAGACAAAGACCTCCATTAAAAACATATTGTTATCTCTGTTTTGTCAAAGATAATGACAGGGATGAAGATATGTTTTATACAGTCTTTCATCTCAGAAAGCAATGGTTTGTGTCATAGACACAATAAGATGGGGTATCTTTTTAATTAACAAATAATATTTAGTTAATTACTTACCCGTTTGGTAGCTTTTTCTTTTAACTCCATCCCAATTGATAACTTTCAAATCATTCTTCGGTTTCAATACTATTTTATTAACAATTTTATTACGTTTCAATTTGTTTGGATGGAATTCATTTTTTCCACTGTTCAATTGTGATTTCTCTTTATTTTTTATAGGTGATTGTTTTTGTTTTTTTGATGATTTTGGTGATTTTTTTGATGTCTGCGTTAATTCTTGATTGTCTTTCTCTCTTAATTGTCGTTTTTGTTGTGATAATTTAAAACGCGTTAGCATAATACTGCGCTCGAAAACCGGTGGATCTTTTTTTAATGGTTCTTTTGATTCCATGATTGTTGTCTGAAAAAAAAAAACCTAAAAATCAATATTTGTTTATGGATGGTCTTAAACAATTGAACAGAATGTATAGAAATTGGTTAGGTTTTCTCAGGACCATAAGAGATTATAAAACTCTAAAAATAAATTCTAGACAGACAATAGATTTTTAGTATTATTTTTTAACATTTTTTATAGTATTAGAATTAATAATTTCCATCAACCTACATATACACTAAAAATTTCAACAACTAAAAAGGTAATTATTCATTTTCGTATATAAATGTCATATTTATAACCAACTAGGTATATCTTTACTTGGTTTGCATAAAATACGCTGTAATGTTCATCTAAGTAGATTTCCTAATAAATAATTTTTCAAATCGTATTAAATTAAAGGTTTTAAATATTATTGATATTCATCCAAAAAATACACGCGTAATTGTAGGTATGTAGCCATTTGTTTCAAGTTTTATATTATTTTATTGTAAATAATTATTTTTAATGTCTGTTATGAATAATAAGGCAATATGCCAAACCATGTTAATATTAAGAACGTAAAACAGTATGTTCTTTAAATTGAGAAAAAAAAACAATTTCGTATAAAGCTTTGAACCACTTTTAAATGTTTCGTAAATTACTTACCAAAAATTCCTCTTATCACCACGGTAAATAATCAAATCAATTGAAGAAATACGCAAAAAGTACCATTCTGTAGCAAACACTGTTCGTGATCCTTTCTAAAATGGAAAAAAAAAATTGTAGGAGAAACGTCAAGATTTAGTTGAACCCATGTCGCACTAAGTTTGTAAAATAAATTGTTGATTTGCAAATGATTCATACATAAACTAAATTTATCCTGTAGTTTATCACGATAACAGATAACTGATAGGAAGTCTTATAATTTTATGAAGCACTTTTCTAAATTAGAACCACGAAGATTACCCAGGCAATCCTTACTTTGAAGCTTTATTTTGTGCAAAGAACCTGAAAGAATCAAAGAAGGGAAGGCACAAAAGGCTTTATGATCAAGAACGAAACAAACAATTAATAGTCGAATAGAACGGTCTATTCGTAATCGAAATCGATTATGTTCATGATGTCCAGCGGACTCCGTTTTAACTAATGAATCTAGTAAATCCTCAGAAGCATCGTTTAGTAGAACTCGAATGCTTATTTGAACTGAAAACATCTAGAATATCAGCCACATATTTATTTTAGACCCTTACACCATTCGAGAAGACATTGAAGAATGGTCTGTCTTCATAGAAAAGTATGCACATTTAAATAAATCTAAGCTATTATAAGGAATGGTTAATTGAATCACGTAAGTGTAACAAAAAAGGTTTTTAGGGAGTTAAATATATTTCAGTTTGGATTTTCATTACATCGAAGCCAAAGATCTATTAAATCTGTTCCATGTATCGAGCAAAATCGGTAAAATCTAACTCTCCATTGGCAATTTAATCTGTAGTCAATTACGAACTGAATTTTATATTTCTTAAATGTAAAATAAATAAACTTCTTCGCATTCATTAACCTTTTTCGATAGATTTAAATTGCACTTGCTTTATTGTGTTAGGAACTTAAAAAATCTAAAGAATTTACGGTTACGGGAAGTTAAGGTTTCCATTTTTCTGTTGTATCGAAGCGCAACGTCATATGATTGATTGTCAGTTTGCTAATTTTGGCGGCAAATTCATAATTGTCAAAAAGTTTATTGCTTAGTGTTGTTTTTTATTTTAAATAAAAAATAAAACTAATACTGTGTTTCATAATGTCCATTCAAGTTGAAAACAATTTGAAAGATAGTGATAATTCAGAACAGTTACAACAAAAAACGCATTACGTCCCTTGCAAGATAGAATCGGATGGTAATGCGAACGTAGAAAAATACTTCGAACCTTACATTACAGAAAAAGAAAATGGAGGTATTTTATTTTTAGAAATTAATTAAACCGTTATAATCCCCTGATCGTTGTTGTTGTACCGTATAATTTTGTTTCTTTTGATAGAATTAAATGGAACCTTCCGAGGGCATCATCTCGATGGTGTTAAAATGAGGCTGCCTGATGGATACAGAGCTGTTCTCGTCACTGAAGCTAAGAAACCATTGGCCGAGGATGCTGATAGAAGATTTCAGGTTACAGACATCAAAATACTTTTACATCTAGACAAAAATTAAAGAAACTATATTAAGGATTGTGTGAAAGATATATATGCGTCCTGACACTATGTAAGGAAAAGGTCTGGAAGATGAGAAATGTATTTATAGAGTAGTTATTATTATTATATAAAAGTTGAAGTAGGTATTTACCTTTTTTTTAATTTCTATACCTTTAGATTTCAAATATCTTGGCAGTCGAAGGTTCTCAGCACACAAGATAGTGTCCTCTTACTCGCAGCAATTCTCATAAATTTAAATATATGTAGTTTACAATAATATGAACTTTGTGTATATTTTTAGATTGCTGGTGGTTTTAAAGAGTTTGTTTATTGGAATTGGGATAAGAAACCATCAAAGAATGATAATATAGTTAAAGGCTTTGAATGGATGGACATAGCTGATGCGGTAAGTAAATATTGTTAAATAAAATAAAGAATAGTAAAAGTTTTGTGCACTTTTTAAGGAAATTGTACAAACTAATAAACATTAATTTTGATATGATTTTTTTTATATCAAATCTAGTTTTATTCCAATTTCTTCTTTCAGATACATGGTGATTGAAAATATAATAAGATATAAGATATTAAGGCAATAGTGTTCTTTTGTTTCTTTATATATGTTTGTATTTGTACTGAATATAAAAATGATGAATTTTATATAAAATATTGTGATAAATAAATTTTTTAACAATTTTTTTTTAATTCCCCCCGCCTTCTGTTTTACGAAACTTACTAATATTATAAATGTGGTAATTATGAACTGTGAGATAGAGAATAGGAAGGAGGTAGATTAAGATATGATGGCTGATAGAGATGTACGGAGTGGTACATACTGTGCCGACCCTACATAGAGATAAGGACAGGTTGATGATGATATAAGTCATATTATGAATGCAAATGTTTAGAAGGTATCTACAGAACGGCTTGAAAGATATAGAACACGTCTGGAAGAACACAGGCTAATTAAACCTTTGTTATTTCGTTTATCGGAGGTAGTTGTGGCCTACAGCTATCTTCTATATATGTAAAAGAAAGTCGTGTTAGTTACATATAACTAAATAACGGATTTACTGATATGGGTGAAAATTGGTGAGGAGGTAGCTTAGAGCTAGGAGACGGACATAGGATACTATTTATTCATTTTTTTCGAATTTATACCTTGAAGAGCTGCTTTTTATTTAATTTACTAATATTATAAATGCGAATGTTTAGATGGGTGGGTGGGCTACATTAATTAAGTTTTTTATATATCGTCGCGGGCGACAGCTATAAAAATGATAAAAAAAGTTAGTCTTGTCTATAACTTTATTGTTTATGAAAAACTTTCATACGTTGTTTGTAGTATTTAGGCGGAATTGTCAGCTTTGGATCAATATCCGTAGAATTGAGCTGGTTCACGTACACCGTGACCGGGGGTGGTGGAGTTACCTGGAATTATAGAAATCAGTCACCCCCAAAGTGTTCTAAGACCCCCTAGGGGGTGTACGACGAAGGGAAACCTTGAGGGAAACTTTTTAGAGTCACCAAATATGTGACTCTAAAAAATCTCATACTAATCTTACTAATATAAATGCGAATGTTTAAATGGATGGATGTTTGTTAGAAGATATTTCCGGAACTCAACAGATCTTAATGAAATTTGGCATAGATGTAGAACGTAGCTTGGAAGAACGCATAGATTACTAATTAAGCTTTTTTTTTTAATTCGGTGCACGGAGTCGTGTGTACAGTTTTGGCTTTTGACATAATTGTCGATGACGTTACGAAGGCGATTGTCCCGAATATTCGTAATAGGTCCACTGATCTCCTTTCGTTTTGGTAATACATACGGCATGGTTGTGTTGCGATGTTATACTAATATTATCATTATCTCCCCACGGTTGTTGAGTAGAGGGCAAAGGAAGGTCACTCGGCTTCAAACTATCGATTAAACTGTGGATGTACTGTCTGAAAATTAAGATTAATTTCAGCTTTATTATTGGGTGTACGGCAATGAATCCAGTTTAGGGCCAGTCAACATTTTTTTCTAAATGCTTTCACATTTTTTAATATCCCAAATCGGAATCCCTGGGAAATAGCGTTCCCCCAGCGTTGATCCACGGTCACTATTTTCACGAAATAAGTCATGGCATTTTTTAAGACTCCAAATCGGAGTTTTCAGTCTGGATTTTAATATATAAAAGTGGGTTTTCACGGTGATTCTAAGGAAAATTTTTATTTGAATTTAATTTATATTATACCGGTACAGTTGGACAGTACCATTGGACTGGTATGGACTCACTGGCGCCTGTAAATAATGTAAAAGAAGCGTTAATTAAGGCCCTTGTAAAACATACCCGGCCAATTCAAAACCCATATCCTTAAAGTCATTACGTTCTGCGACGCTTAACACGCTGTTCAATATCGGATGGTTATCCAGAACCTCAACAGCATGTATTAAATACTTGTCGAATTCCTCCTCAGGGTCACCTTGACGCAGGAAACGTTGTTTACTGCAAATTTAAACCTTATTAATTAAATACAGGGTCATGTCGCAGGCGAGAGCGCAAGTGTGCCTCGCCATGATGCGTAAGAGAAACAGAGGGGTTTAGTGAGTATGCTTCCCATCCGGAAGAGAATCCCACATTACTACCGCGTCCCCTCGGTGTGCGCATAAAGTATTGCCCTTTGGAAAAAATGGATCATGTTTTGCGCGTGTTAGATTTTATATTTGGGTATAGATTGTGACCTTTTGTAGCTTAAATGACTGGACAGATTTTGACGAATGAGGTGTCATTCGATTCGTATTTTTTCCCTGAGTGTCATTATGTATTAATATACATAATGACACTCACCTATGTAATCATAGGCATAACACACATATATTAGACATGGGAGATGAAATTGAGTTTGTATGTATCTTACATTTATTGAGATCTCTTACTGAGACTAAAGCCCAAATGACTGAACAAGTGCGATATCATTCGATTCGTGTTCCTATGTGTCACACGAGGGGCTCAGAGCCTGTCCTAAGGTAGGGGTGATTAGGCCATAGTTAGCCAGGGCTTGAACCTTGTACCTTTTGAAGCCATTTGGTAGTCGTCCAGTCCTCAAATTGTTGGCTTTCCTCAGTATCTCAGGGTGGAGAGTCCCACTTTCATTTACATGATACATCTTCTCTATCTTAGCGATTAATTCTTTACGTAATGTCTCCAACAAATGGTCTGCGAATTCGTCTCTTTCCATCTTTAAGTTCTCCAACTGGAATACAGAAAAATGGCCGCCATGTTTAACCTTCCCTATTTATATACTTTTACCCGCGATTTTGACGTGAGATTAAAAAAAACTAGTAATATATATCCTATGTCACTCAGTGATAATTTAGCTTTCCAAAGGTGAAGGTATTTTTGAAATCGGATACGTAGCTTTCGAGTTTATTCGTTACATACAAAAATATAAATCTCTTTTTAATATTAGCATAGAAGTATAGGAAGTTCAATTTAATGAGGTTTTTATCGTAAGTAATTGAGCAGAGGCACCTTTATACCAAAGGAACTCCAGATACTTTTGTGACGCTCGCTTCTTGAAGGAACCTAAGGTCCATTGAACACAAGGAAATATAAATGTTTGAGAGTTATATATTATGTTTGCTTGCTCCGTACACACAAAGTTGAAGTGAGACGAGTCTATTCTGTCAGTATACTCATAGCTACTACATGCCTACTGTATATCCGCCATCTTGGTTATTCAGAGCGACATTGTACGACGTATGACGTTGTAATCGCCAGTGTTCAAAGATTTACGTTACCTTATGCACGAAGGACCTAAGTCGACTCTACAAATGGTTTTACCAGCTCAAATACAAACTTACTTGATCATTAAGTATTGCCAGATATTCTGGTGTTCTTCTCAACCGCAATATAACAGAACTTAGAGGTTCTCCAAATAATTTAATCGCCTCCATTTCTACGTCATAACGTTTACTTGATGTCAGATCTGTTATTACTGTCCAAACAAACATTTTTATTAATAGATATTTATGTTTGAAAACGTTTAATATAAATTAGAGATGGTGTGACTTCCTGGGGCACTTGCAGTGCCCTCTAATCTCTGGATTTTGTCCGTCGCCGAAAGGGGCGCCGCAAAATTTCGCCTAAGACGCCGGAAATATTAAATCCGGACCTGCCCCCCTTAATAGGTAAACTGCCAATATTGCGTTGGCATGTTGAAATAAAACAATTCGAGTCAAGGAATATTACGTAGTTTAAAATATTATCATGTATAAAAAATAAATAAAGTTTAATACGTCTTAGAATATAATTTGACTAGCGTGAAATGGAAGCAATTCCGCGTGCAGTCTGATGAGTGTGTGTCCCGGAGGTCTAATTTAGTCCTTTTTCCCTTCCCATCCTTTTTCTTATAAGCAAAGGATGGGAAGTGGAAGTAGACTTTCCGGATGAGAGGATGCATGGGAAGGGTAAATATTTACTTTCTGTGCATCCTCTCCGTCGATTAAAGGTAGGCAACGCATATGCAACTGCGTATGTCTATGGACAACGGTCACTTCGCTATTTCAGCGATTTCAGGTGGCCGCTTGCTCGTTTGCCACCTTATGATTGACTAAATTAATATTTTTTTATAATATTTACCAAAACATAATCCCAATACAACACCAGCCTTCATGTTTACAATTTAATATATGTTTTATAGTTTTTTTTATAACGTTCGTAAATTTCCACATTGCCATATCTCTACTTGATATTATAAAGAAGAAAGATTTGTTTGTTTGTATTGAATAGACTCAGAAATAAATGAACTAATTTGTAAAATACTTTCACTGAGAAGTTACACTACCAAGTAATAAATAGGCTTGATTACTAGATTTTTTAATTTCGCGAAGACGAATTCGCGAGCGAAAGCTAGTCTTACTAATATTATAAATGCGAATGTTTACATGGATGTTTGTTAGAAGATATCTCCAGAACGGCTGAATGGATCTCGTTGAAATTTGTCATACATATAGAACATAGTCTGGAAGAACATATAGACTAATAATTAACTTTTTTTTAATTAAAAAAAATTCGGTAGTAAAAGATGTACTTTAATCATCTTCATACACTGTTTTCGTCGCAATATATGGTATGAATGTTCTTCCCAAAGATTGAGAAATTCTTCCGCCGTGTTTATTTGGATTGAAATCTTGGTCAGCTGGTCTTTTCCTTATATATTCATCATCATCCATACCTTTATCCCATAAATCACCTCTAGGATATTTCTTCTCGGTATACTTCGGTCTACTCGGTATATCGCGGTCTTTAGCGAATTCCTTTAGTACAACGTTAGCGGCTATTTTTTCTTTTTTATCAAATTTTAAATTGCTAGCGTCTAAATTTTCATCGGAAATCTTTAGTCTTTTATCCTCTTTCTTTTCTATTTTGGGTCTTTTGCCTTCTATTATTTGTGGTATTCTTTTGTCTCTGGCTATTTTAAAACGACCTTTTTGATGGATATTTTTTGCGTTTCTTAATTCTGGATCGTTTGATCCTTTATTTCCGTGATTTTTGTGACGGGATCGATTGTGGCTGTGTTTATCTGCGTTTTTGTCTCTAGAAGGTCCTGAAATTGATAAAGATTTATCTGACTAATATTATAAATGCGAAAGTATGTATATAACCATGTAAAGAAAGGCTTAAAGGATCTAGATTAAATTTGGAACACACATAGAGTTTCAGGAAAGTCAGTCTGTCTTATAACTTAATCATTGGTACGCGTACTAGGCTTAATTTTAGTCTACTTTCCCTTCCCATTATTGTTCTTATAGTGATGGATAGTGGAAGTGGATTTTCCGGGTGAGAGGATGCATGGGAAGGGAAGATATTCTCTTTCTGTGCATTTTCTCCGTCGAAGAAATGTTGGATACGCATTTGAATTGCGTATGTCGATGGGCAAGATCACGTGCTACAAATGTTGAGAGATCTTAACTCTTGTCTTACCAACAATGTCAAACTTCCTTTGACTAGAAAGTTCGTCCGTTAAAATCCTGTCTTCATCTGAATACGAGTAGTCTGAGGAATCCGACGAGGACCAAGGCCTAGAATTACATAGAGATTTTAATTTAATTTTAAACTAGCGATCACTGACGGCTCTGTCCGCGAGTGGTCGCTAGTTAAATTAAAAAACAGCGTAGCGCCCACGGTGGGGACGTGGGTGATGACGTCTTACTAATATTATAAATGCGAATGTTTGTTTGAAGGTGTCAGAATGTCTGAACGGATCCCGCTTATATTTGGCATAGGCCACTAATAAAATTTTTTTCGAATCCTGGGCCGACGGAGTCGCGGGCGACAGCTAGTCATAAACTAAAAAGAAATCTAAAGCAGGTTTACTGATCCTTAACCAATCGCTACATACAAGAAGCCTCTTAGATTATTCTTATATTCTTCTAGAACTTCAGGATTGTCGATATATAATAATCTGGGCTTTCTCTCCTTCATCACGTTGCCATGACGAAGAAGATTGTTGTAATTCTTCTGCAGAAGACTTAACGCTGCTATAATTCTACCTTCTTGTTCGTTAACTATATTATTTCCAACGTCAGCATCTGGAAAAGAAAAAAAGGATATCACTCTAAACTTTTATTCATCATCATCATCATCATCATCAATCTTTGAAACAAAGAGAGGTAACCATATATTATTAACAAGGAGTTTGGTGTTTTTTATGGAGAACGGCCACCCAAAGTCGCTGAAACATCGAAGCGACCGCTCCCCATAGACATCCACAATTGCAGTTGCGTTGCCTACCTTTAATCGACGCAGGAGATGCACAGAAAAATAATATTTTCCCTTCCCATGCATCCTCTTATCCGGAAAGTCCACTTACATATCCAATCCTTATAAGAAAAGGAGTAGGAAATGAAATAGGATTAAAATTAGGCCTCCGGTACCACAATCAAGACGAAACGCGGAATTTCTTTTACTTGACGTCTTCTGTATGGTTATGGTATTGCACTGGGCGAGGACAATTCGTGCGAAGATGTTAAAACGGGCTCTACCACTGTTAAACGGTCTTAGAAACTCACAGTTGATAACTTACCTTTAGGAACGAAATCACCCAGTAGTCTATTTTCCTTTCTTTCATATTCATCATAATGTCCATTTAAATATTTAATAATTCGTTTCAATTGTTCTCTATTCTCTATTATCCTTGGGTTAAGTTTAATAGATGCTAAATCTCCGTCACCATGTAAACCTTCATGGCTGTCTCTGTTAGCCACTACGCTTGTAAGAACACCTATACACATATATAGAAAATGAGCAATAATCGATATAAAAAATGAATTAACTTGTCTGACTGTATACTTATGACACTCAGGAGATGATAACGAATCGAACGACACCTCATTCGTCAAAATCTGTTCAGTCGTTTAGGATGTAGGTGGTAACAAACAAAAAAATGGTATTTACGTGGAGTTTTTGGTCTGGTTGCCGTAAGGACATTTTCCCATTTTTGAATGCGACATTGAATCAATTTGCTAATCTTACTAATATTATAAATGCGAATGTTTAGATGTATGTTTATTTGAAGGTATTCCTTGTGCGTACCGCAAAGGATTGGAACAAGTTGCCAGCCTCTGTTTTTCCGGCCAAATATGATATTGGGACCTTCAAAAGTAGAGTGAATAGGCACTTACTAAGCTAGCGCGTACCATCTTTCGACCAAATCTCCACTTCACCAGGTGAGATCGTGGTCAAGTGCTAGCTTATAAAACGTAAAAAATCTCTAGAACAGCTGCATGGATCTTGATGAAATTTGTCATAGATGTAGAACATAATCTGGAAGAGTAAATACGCTTCTCACTCTTATTTTGATTCAGCGTGAACGTAGTCGCGATCGACAGCTATCATACTAATATTATAAATGCGAATGTTTAGATGTATGTTTTTTTGAAGGTATCTTGAGGACGGCTACATGGATGACAGGCTACTTATTGAGTTTTAAGGGCGACAACTATTGGCTAATAAAACCGATCCTGATTACTTTTTAGTCCTCTTTCCCATATAGCAATTAGTCGCGTACAAACATTATTTTGTACAGTCGAGGTCGTATCCGGAAAGGAATCGCGTAAATCTAGCCGTTGTATAGAAGTAAGTTTTAGGTTTTTGTAGAAGAAAGGCATATAGTTTTATAGTCTTACCTAAAATTTGTAGTAAACTAATGAACATAATTCAGATGCTAGCTCCGGTATCGATGTGGAAAAATGTAATTATATTTACGTTCATAATTTAATTATTGCGACAATCAAATTAGTATACGAAAGTAATAAAAAATTTTATAGCTTCAGACTGGAATAATTAACTAAGATTTTTTCACTTTTACGAGTGCTCCATTATTATTACAGCCGCGACTTCATTAAATGAGGTTATTATCGCGTTTTGGAAAAAGGGTCTAAAGTTGACGAACAATAATTTTAAAATAAACATTAATATATATAATACTAGCGGACCCGACAGACGTTGTCCTGTCTACACGTCTTTAATTTGAAAATTTCAAACTTTTTTTAATAAGCTAAAATTAAAGTTCGAATATTATTTAAAATTTGACAATGCGATGGTAGCGCCGTCTATCGGATCCAATGTAAAACATTCCAAAATCAACAACTACTAATAAATTAAAAATTCATTAAAAAAACATTGTCCAGCGGACAAAATTGTGAATCTAAACCATTCCCAGATCCCCTTGAATACACACAAAAAATTTCATCAAAATCGGTCCAGTCGTTTGAGAGAAGTTCAGTGACATACACACTCACAGAAGAATTATATATATAAAGACTAGCCAGCCGCCAGCTCGCCACCGACTCCGTCCGCGTGGATATATAAAAAAACTTAATTAGTGTAGCCTATGTGTTCTTTCAGACTGTTCTATACGTATGCCAAATTTAATCGAGATCCGTTCAGCCGTCTAGCGACATATTCCAAAACCCATCCATCCACATCACATCCATCTAAACATTCGCATTTATAATATTAGTAAGTTATAATAAAAAGCAGCTCTTCAAGGTATAAATTCGAAAAAAATGAATAAATAGTATCCTATGTCCGTCTCCTGGCTCTAAGCTATCTCCTCAACAATTTTCAGTCATATCTGTAAAGCCGTTCTTGAGTTATAAATAGTGTAACTAACACCACTTTCTTTTATATATATAGATATGTATATAGCAAAAATATACAAGATAATTTCCGTTGTCAACTAGGTCAGAAATATTCGGAACACTATTATTTTATGACCTCATAAAAGTCCACATTAATCCCGGATAAAGAAATGAAAATGTTTGGTTAGGTGGATAGATGAATGTTTGTTAGAAGTTATCTCCGGAACTGCTGAACGAATCACGATGAAATTTGTCATACATATAGAACATAGTCTGGAAGAACACATAGACTACTTATTAAGTTTTTAATTACACGCGGACGGAGTCTTGGGTGACAGCTAGTCTTACTAATATAAATACGAATGTTACGATGGATGAAAGTTAGAAGGTATCGGCTCAACAGATCTTGATGAAATTTGTCATACATATAGAACATAGACTACTTAAGCATTATGTTTTTTTTATTCCACGCGGACTGAGTCGTGGGCGGCAGTTTTATACATAACGGGATTTGACCTTGAAGAAAAAAAATAAGAACGACGAGGACTATTATTTAGTCAGTTCTATGCGTATCGTACTCTTAAATATTTAAACTGTACTATAAAGCTTTCAATTGATTGCAAGTTGAATAAATAAATGAAATAGAACAATACTTAATATTTAAAAAAAATTCCATTTCCGCGCCTAAAATATTACACGGCTGTATAAATATTGCGATTCATCGAATTATGTTTTTACTTCGGTGTTACGTGTGAAAAAAAATATTATTTTGATTTTTTTATTTCGTTGACTCTGTCGCCATCGACTCCGTCTGCGCGGAATGAAAAAACTTAATTAGTCTATGCATTCTTTTAGCTACTACGCCAAATTACTATGTGCAGCCGTTCCGGTGGTACCTTCAAACAAACATCGATCTAAACATTCACATTTATAATAGCTGTCGCCCGCGACTCTGTCCGGGCGGGATTGAAAAATATATGTTGTCCGATTCTCAGAGCTACTCAATATGCTCACAAAATTTCATGAGAATCGGTCAAGCCGTTTCGGAGGAGTATGGAAACGAAAATTGTGACACGAGAATCGTTCAGCCGTTCTAGAGATACCTTCTAACGAACTCTACCCATCCATCCATCCACATCACATCCATCTAAACATTCCCATTTATAATATTAGTAAGTAAAAAAAACAGCTCTTCAAGGCATAAATTCTAAAAAAAAAAATACAAGTAGTATCCTATGTCCGTCTCCTAGCTCTAAGCTACCTCCTCAACAATTTTCAGTCATATCGGTAAAGCCGTTCTTGAGTTATAAATAGTGTAACTAACACCACTTTCTTTTATATATTGATGTATAAATCAATGAAAATACATTGCGTAAGATACAAAACAAATATATATTTTCGTATATTTGCATTATCTGTGCGTATATAAAGCGATAGAGAAATGTTAACACTTCATTGGTACCAAAATTGTCCAACAAAACTATCAAAATGGAAGCTAAAATTCTTCTGATCCTGTGCTTGGTAAATAAATTAATAATTTTCTTTTATAATTATTTAAATATTTATTACGTCTTCAGCTCACTATACTCCACTGAGGGTAGAGTCTACCCTAAGTGAGAGTATGTGATAGTGAATGCTGGCCCAGTGCGAGACTTCACACATATCTTTGAATTTCTTCGCCTTAGCATAATGTAAAGACGAACTGGCGCCAGTTACTATACAGTCCATTGCTACTGTCGTACTGTACTGTCTTGTCAAGCATAAATGTTACATTAATTCGCAAGAATTTTAATTTAAAAAAAATATATTTATTTTTTTAAGGTTGGCATGACCCTGTGTACTCCAGGTAAGTTTCTTAATTTATTAAAATGGCCAGTATTATTTAGATTTTTTTTATATTATATAAGAGGTCAATTCGCCGATATAGCGACATGAGCCCATAGACATATGCAACTGCAGCATATTTCCGCTTTCTATGCGTACCCTTCTCTACCAAATTCACTTCCCCTTCCCATCATTTCCTTATGAGAAAAGGAGGGATAAGGCTTCCGGACTAAAATTAAAAACCAGCCAATATTAATCCTTCGTTTAAAATTATGACTTTGTTGACCTACGGGACTGGTATAGTTTTTGCGAAAATTACATTTGAATGATTCTAAAAAAAAGTTAATTGTTATATTTGTTATACTAATAAAGTTATTTTCTTGTTACAGTGCCCGATGGTAAGTTACTTATGTTCATTATTAATAATTTAAATATACTTGAAAATAATTTATAGTTTAATATTTGTATTTTTAGATATTATTCGTTAGAATCATTTGGCGCGAATGACGTGCTCTCGTTACAAAGTCAAGTGTCAGAATGATTAGTGAGGGGACATAAACGTCGACATTTTAGTAAGGCTAGTGTTGCATCACATCGGCACATCGGATTTTCTTCCTAACACTATATCTATATAAAATATCTTGTTTCAATTAAAAAAAAAAAACGACCAAAGATTAAATGCGCGACGTAAATCTTTACGGCGCGATTTTAGTCCCAAAGCGACTTATGCAATATCGTAGTTTCTTACAGTGAGTTCGCAATACCTATATCTGGTTTAAGTATTCCGACGCCCTGGGCGACATTTTTTTGACGTCGGTTGAAATCTTTAAAAGATAGGATCTTAAGGATCACCGTAGGCGCCCTTTAATAAACTAATCTTTCGCCTACGTCGCCCACTGATGTCGCCATCTGGCTTACCCTAATAACAGCTAGTGGGTGGATGTGTGCTAAGGGTGTCATCGTGTGGGCGGCCAACCTTAAATGTATAGCACTATCATAATGAAATTCTAGGTTTAGGTGCAGGACTCGGTGCGGTAATTGGTTTGGGCCTTGGAATCGGTGGTAATCCTGTGAACTCAGGTCTGCCAAACATTCCTGCCGTACCTTCCGTACCTGCTGTACCCGCTGTACCCGCTGTACCCGCTGTACCCGCTGTACCCGCTGTACCTGCCGTACCAAACGTACTTACTACATTGCCAAGCATTCCAGCCGTACCGGTCACTCCATTGCCGAGCACGATCTTACCATGCTAAATATAGGTAAATATTTAAATTTGTTGATTTGAAATTCGAACACATACATCCTTTTTAGGGTTACGTATCTCAAAAGGAAAGAAACGGAACCCTTTTTCCCGGATCCGTTTTCTCAAAAACGCTGGAATTTATATCAAATACTCAGGTCTGCGGTCGCTGGGTGCTGTAAAAAATAAAACTTCTACTTAGGGTTCTTCAAGAAGCGAACTTATCACTATCTCAAAGGCCGGCAACGCATCTGCGGTTCCTCTGGTATTGCTGATGTCCATGGGCGTCGTTGAACACCTCGGTGTTCCTGCTGCTCGTTTGCCCTCTTCTATTATAAAAAAAAAAGAATGGATGTATAACGCACAAGAAATTTAATAATGCAGATATATATTTTTTAATTTATTAAGGTTTTTAATTTTTTTTTTTTTTAGTTTCGTGAACAACATTCAAGATTTCTTCGCATTCTTCAGTAAATAATAAAGGATTAAAACAATGTATTTAAAGTTATGACACAATTTTATAAAGTAAAATAAATTTCTGCAATTCATTTTATTATGTCTTTTGTTATTTAATTCCTATTATACAGTGTCTATTTAAGATAGATTAATTTGACAACTGACGCCTATAGAATATCTAATTAATTTTGTATGAACATTAATGTTGTACTTAATAGACGGTTGTTATAGTAAATTATTCAAACTTTCGTGAGACATTATACTAAATTGATATATAAACACTCACGTATATACGTCCGGTGGCGGTACCAACTAGTTTCGAGCCCATCGGGGGCCCTTCAGTGAGCGACGGGCCGCGTCCGCGAAATAATACCAGTACCACTCATCGTGATGAAGGGCCCCCGATGGGCTCGAAACTAGTCGGTGCCGCCACCGGACGTATATACGTGAGTGTTTAGCCGTGTTTATATATCGGTTGTTATAGTGTCGGACCACGCAACGAATAACTGTGAACTATCGAATATCGGTCTTGTAATAAATTAATGCAACAAATGGGTACTATAATCTAGGTATTTTATAACTTTTTAAATTTATTACAGTTATTTAGCTATGTATCGCACAATTAATTAAAAAAAAACTTTTTTACTTCAACTTCGCAATTTTTGGTTTAACGTCTTATTTCTTTATGTAGTTATGAAGGATAAAGTAGGAATAGAAAGAAACAATTTTATTTGTATTGTGTAGTGTGTAATTCAAAAACAATTATCACGAAATTTTCGATTGCGAGTTCTATGAGAACAACTATCGAAAATCGAAAAAAATCTTAATCCATTTTTCTCAAGACATATCTAGTGAATTGTCAAACTAATCTATCTTAAGTAGACAACTTAATCTATGTATTGAAATTACTATGGTGCGCAATTTCAAATATAGCGTCATCCCTGTCATTCGTCTTAGACAAAACAGAGATAACAATATCTTTTAAACGAAGATTTTGGAATCAGAAACCCAAGGCAAATCTTTCTGCAAGGACAATTTAATGTCACATTTGACATCTGTCAGTTTTAGCTTCATAGTGAGGTTACTTAAAATATCGATTAAAGTAAATCAATCGATTCCGACTTCAAAACATGTGAATCGAAGTCAGTTGTTTTTCGTTCGATTTATTTGTAAGAACCTTAGTGTTTAAAATTAAAAAGAGTTCACATTGTAACGACGTTCAATTGACATTATCTTACTGATATTATAAATGCGAATGTTTAGATGGATGTTTGTTTGAAGGTATCTCCAGAACAGCAGCATGGATCTAGATGAAATTTGGCATACATATAGAACATAGTCTGGAAGAACATAGGCTACCAATTATGTTTCTTTTTTTTTAAATCTGCGCCGACGGAGTCGTAGGCGACCGCAAGCTGATACAATAAATTAAATAAGTAATCGAAATTTGAAAAACGGTAAGCAATTGTGCAGCTCGACAAAAATAACACTTTATGTGTGTTGATAGAAGATTACTGGCCCTGCTATAGTTCATTCCAAGATATTATTTTTACTTGTCCAATTTGAAAACCTGCCAGTAAAAAAGTTCGTTTTGCATCTTGTCCGTTGAATTTTAATTTTACACTCCTACATTTTTTTTCTGTTTTCGAAATTATTCTAAAACTAATTGCCCGCGACTCCATCCAAGCGGACTTAAAAAACACTTAACTAGCAGCCTACGTGTTCTTCAAGATTGTTCTACATCCCTGTCTAATTTAATCAAGATTCGTTGAGCCATTCTAGAGATACATTCGAACAAACATCCATCTAAACATTCGCATTTATAATATTAGTAAGAGAATAAGAAAGTGTAACATGTAAAACTACAGTTTATTTAGTTTTAATAATAAAATTGAAAAATCTTTATTTTGAAATGCACTTAGTAAATGGTGCTGTTTTATCCATGAGGTCCTGTCAGTCGTCTTTTTTTGTAATTAATGTACGTATATAATATTGGAGTTGAAATAAATAACAAGTTATTTGCAGAAATATATTAATTGTAACCTTATATATATATATATATATATATATATATATATATATATATATATATATATATATATATATATATATATATATATATGTATATAGAAGAAAGTGGTGTTAGTTATACTATTTATAACTCAAGAACGGCTTTACTGATATGGTTGAAAATTGGTGAGGAGGTAGCTTAGAGCCAGAAGACGGACATAGGGTACTATTCATTCTCTCTTTTTTTCGAATTTACGCCTTAAAGAGCTCCTTTTTATTTACCTTACTATTATTATAAATGCGAATGTTTAGATGTGATGTGGATGGATGGATGGGTGGGCTACACTAATTAAGTTTTTTATATATCCACGCAGACGGAGTCGCGGGCGACAGCTAGGAGTACATAGTTCCAAATCTACTAGCACTTTAATATGTCACTGACAGCTATAACTTTTAGCGTCATAGTAGTGTGAGTTGCTTAAAAACATCGATTACAATTAATAAATCGATATGGACTATATGCAATTTATTATGAAAATCGATATTTTTCGTTCGATTTTTTGCGACATAAGTATTTAAATGAAAAAGGGTCCACTGTTCCCATGATAATAAATATATTAATTACTATAAATATTTAATCCAACAGAAAATATGTAAAAATACGTAATATTATTGTAGCGACTTCATTTATATGCTACCGAATGACATGGTACTTTAGGTTTTAAAAGCTTGTGCACGCTTGGTATGGCCCCGCCTCCAATTTGTTTCCCAAGGCCAACTTTTAAACCAAGACGGATTGCTGCTTCTAGGCCGTGATCAGGACCGTGTTTGCCACCTGCAACAGTTTAAACTGATATAATAACGGCTAAACACTCACGTATATTTGTCCGGTGGCGGCACCGACAAGTTTCGAGCCCATCGGTTACTGATTAGTGGTAGACGGGCCGAGTCCGATCGGTGTTATACCAGTACCACTCACCCTGATAAAGGGCCCACGATGGGCTCGAAACTAGTCGGTGCCGCCACCGGACGAATATACGTGAGTGTTTAGCCGTTTTATATCAGTTTATTATAATGTCTCAGGAAAGTTTGAATAATTTAATGCAACAGATTAGTATTATACAATTAACTTTTATAACACAAAAGGCTACTTGAAGTTACATTTTGTGCCTATTTGGTTTTCGCCATTTTGAAGCTATTGATGGCGATTGCTAGCAGTGGTGATGACCCGAATTTTATTTACATATATTACAGATGCAAATATTTGGTTGGATATTTGTTAGAAGGTCCAGGAAATTTGTCATAGATGTAGAACAATGTCTGGAAGAACACATAGGCTACGAATTATGTGTTTTTCATTAATTCGCAGACGGAGTCGCGGGCTACAGTTATTTAATAATAAAGGTAGAATTAATTGTCAGTACTCAAATGGCTCTTTTATTTCGGAACAAAATAACCTGTCCAGCGAAATCCAAAATAGGTTAATGTTGTTATTTCCTAATAAAATGAATGTCATAATGCATTACTTACCTATCTTTGGTTTTCCAGCGCAATGCGATTTTGGATACGGCAATGGATCAGCTCGAATTGGGTCTACTGGAAGAACACTGGCAGGTACGTTCGGTGCAATATTAGGATCTTGAGCAGCTGTTGGATCTACATTGGGTTGATTAGGGTCGGGTCCAGGTGCTATAGACGGAATTCCGTTGGGTTGATTAGGGTCGGGTCCGGGTGTTATAGACGGAATTCCGTTGGGTTGATTAGGGTCGGGTCCAGGTGCTATAGACGGAATTCCGTTGGGTTGATTAGGGTCGGGTCCGGGTGTTATAGACGGAATTCCATTGGGTTGATTAGGGTTGGGTCCGGGTGTTATGG